TAAAAACATTTTACAGTTTTTTTCCCGTTAAAATTGATTACCTTTTTAATAATAGCTTAAATCAAAGGAATAACAGCCCTCTAATTATTATTACGCTATTAAAAAAACCGTAATTTTGCTTTTAGAGCTATGAGTTAATATACAAGTTTTAATACGCCTTTTAATGTCTTTTAAACCTCTTATAACTACCGTAAAAATATCCTATAAAAAATGCCTTTTAAACAAGCGGTTTAAATTATAAACCGTTAAAAAGAACAAGCCGCAATTTACGTAGGAAACAACTTTACCTACTGTTTTTACTATAAAAGTAAAACGTTTTTAATATATAAAAACAAATTAACAATACTATTTCTTAAAAGATAATTAAGTTAAAGGGAATTTAAAAGGCACAAAACCGTTATTGAAAAAAGAATAAAAGTTTAAAACTTAATGTTAAAATCTAATAGTATTAGCTAGCTGGAAAAAAAAGCTGAAGTTTTAAATTCTGCTAGCTTGTTAATAATAAAAAGCTTAAAGAGGGTTAGAGTAAATCAAGAAAAAACACTACGTATACGATATAAGGAATAAATTAATCAATTAATAAGCATTTAAAAGTTTATACGATAGGTTTTTCACCGGGTTTTATTGTATATTCATAGTTATCTCTATAATAAAGTTTTTAAATTAATAATGATTATAATAGGTTAAGAATAATTGTATCGTCCCCCCCCCCCCCCCCCCCCCCCACCCATTAAAGCAAGATCCTTATCTTACTTAATCTAATCTATTTACTATATATAGCCTAGTTTTTAAACTACTACGCATTTCTTTAAAGATTATATGATCTTACTTGATAAACGACGTTTTTTAAACCTTTTTACAACTTTTTGTGATGGTTCCACCATCTATTAGGTCTAACGATGGTCCCCATGATCCCCGGGTCACGTGACTGAACACGTGACTGATTGGACGATAGGTTGATCCATGCCCTTTGTGGGGGACGACTGCCCACATCTAGCTGCCCACCAATTTGGGTGCATTTCCAGATCTTTCTTTTCCTTCAATCAGAGTTCGTTATACATTAATAGTTAATAATGGTTCCTGTATCGTTGCAATACATTTACGAAATCGTGACAGTTTTAAATAATTAAATAAACTGTTTTTTTTTGCATTCATATGTTAAAAATTATTTACATAGACTAAATGTCTTTTTGGCTGTAAGTGTTAGTTGCGCCAGTACTTTGCCTTAGTTTAATAGTTTAAAAACTATTTTTAACCATGTAACTAATAATAGCTGGTAAAACGCTAGGTTGAATCTAAAGGATATATTAATAATTTGTTAGTTATTATTACAAGCTAAAACGTATAGCGTTTATATGTTTACTCTTCTACCCTTATTATTAAACTTAGATAATATATAATCATAAAATAAAATAACTCGATCGTATTAATTAATAATATATATAATAGTAACTTTAATTTTTTCAATACGATACCGGTTTTTAAGGTCTTAATAATTAAAAACTAACTAAATGTATTTAGTTTTGATTAATATTAAAACACTTTTTAATTAAAAACTTATAAAAGATAAAAAGCATTTCAGTTTAAATTAATAGAAAGTAGTTTTTTAATATCGTTAAAACGAAAAGAAATATTATACTATAAAGTAACTAAAACTTATTAAAAAATATAACTTTTTATAAGTTTAAGATTATAAGTATTAGCTAAATGTGGATCGGCTTAGTTATCCCTTCGGTCGGTAACGTTAATAAGTAACCGCGAGAAGTTTACTAAGGTTAGGCACTTAGTAGAAGGAGGGAATATGACAGACGCTATAAGAAAAAACGGGACGACCAGTAACAGAGTCCAGGCTGTTTTCTTAGCCGGTACAGCCGTTATTTGTTGGCTGGAAGCTGCGTAGCTGCCTTTTTCTTCCTGTCGACCTCGCTGGCGGTTGGGGACGGACGGGAAGAGGCGCATGCAGTGAAACGCTGTTGGCAAGTTGGCCTGCGCCTTGATATACCTGTACGCAAGGCTGCCAATCAGGAGAGTAACAGCACATGTATCCCTGTACCTCGACGACACAAATCAGCATGGCGACCCAACCTCAATTCCTCGCTACCAGATTCTCTACCTTGGCCACACACTTTGTCAGCTGCCCTCATCTCTCTGGCTGAATTGGCGCCACAGGGGTAACTTACAATGTCTAACGCACCCCCTTGGCAATAGAACAGTCCTCCTTCTACACGGCCTACATCTCTGTTCGTTTAGAGTTGCAGGAATGCAATGACCGCAGCACCGCACGCACCAACACCCCCCTTGATTGGCAAATGGGATGTCGGTGTCATTGGTGCGTTCCTGCGGTTGACCGTTCGAGTAGGATAACGGCGGGGCCATGCAGATGGGACAGCCCCCCAGATGGGACAGTTCCCCCACCAAAACACAATATTTGCACCTACATATAACCCCATTGGTATTGAGGCTATAGATAATATATATATATCCAAAGAATCGCCTTTTCTTGGTGTTTTTAGCAATACCAGTGCTTTTAGCGGTAGCACGCAGGTTGGCGGATTTCTCGGTGCCGAGATCGCATCATAATGGGCTCTTCCTCTTCATTATCCTGCTTATTAGACACCCCCTTGCCCTCTTTGTCAATAATTATCCCTTTATTTAGATCTTCTAAATCTGTTGAATCAGAAGAGAGGGAGTCCTCAGAAGGCGATTCCTCTGATTCTTTGGTCTCCAGGTTCTACACTTCGCACAAAAGTTGTCGTCTCTCTGCCTGCTGGTTAATCAGTACTTGTGCGGCCTCTGTATGCTCGATTTGTTTCTGAATAACGTCTCTTATCTTCCATAGCCATTGATTAGGCTCTTCCTGAGGGGCCTTATGGCACTTTTTAGGCTGTAAATGTATGATCTTGTTGTCTTTTGCCTCGTTTTGTAGCTTCAAGATGGCTAACTTAATCACCATCTCATTGTATGACTTTGCGACCGCGTGTATTGCTGCTCGTTGCTCAGGGCTCTCCGCGACTATTGACAACATCAGGGCTATATCTTGCCCTGATGTAGGGGCTTCCAGGGTATCAGGGGTGGTTTCAGGGTTCATTATAACAGCAGCTGTTACTTGTATCTCTGCTGCCTTTATCACATACTTGTTTGCCAGTGTCTTGTTCCTATTTATGGGTCAAAGGCTAGCAGCACGCCATCCCGAGTGCACAATAACAGGAGTAGCTTTGGCACGGGCTTTCGCCAGGCAAGAAAGAAATTTAATCTTGCTAATAAGGGCTGAATCATTCAACTGACCGAGCTGGTTAATGAGGCGGCGATAGACGGCCTTCATCACAGAGAAAACGGTCAGATCTAGGGGCTGGAAGATGTGAGACTACCTTTATTAGCCAAATAACTAGTAATTAAAGATATAACCTACTATATAGGCAGGAAAAAAGCTCAGATAAACGTTGTTTATATAGTACAGATACACAAAATCATCTTAGCAGTGGCTGCCATGGCCATTAAGCACCAATAAGCGGAACTCATCTGGGTCTTCATAGACAGTATCTGGCAGATAGATCTAAGGGGTTATTTAGCATATTGTTAACATTAAAAAATAAAAAATAAATAACCTTTTTAAGCCATTTGAGCACAATTGCGTTCGAGGACCAGCCATTAATAGAGTAAGTCACTATCCAGTCTGTCACCCCAGGATGCTCCAGAATAAGCTGTTCTTTGAAACACTGCATCTGTGGTGACTTTGCCTTAAAGATAACCAGCAGCCGGAGCTTTTTCTCAGTGGCAGTGATCGATTCTATCACGGTAGTCCACGTGCGGTTATCGTTGGACTTGACGTTGGCCCCTTTTGAGCCAGAACTGCCTATTATAAGGCCATTATACCTATAACCTCCTGATTAGCTGTCTGAAAAACACTTGGATTGGATGTACGTACTGCCAGCCCTGCATATTGCCGTACTTATCGATATTTGTGCGGTTCTCAGACTTGATAAAGTCGAAATCTGTGTAATAGTCATGATAGCCATGGATATTGTCAGGAATGACAGTATTGATACATTTGTAGTCAAGTTTTCTACCCATCTTGGTCTTTATCTCTGGGTTCCAGCGGATGAAATTTCGCATGTAATGGCCCCCAAGATGAGGCGGTTTTCCCTGGGATTCTAGGATCTTCTGGATGATGTACCTCATATTGACATGAATAGGGGCATGGCTGGCCTTTTCTTGGTACAGAATCCATAAAATCACCTTCTTTTCTTGAACAGGGTTTATTTTTTGTCTGCGAGTATGTCCTTTATGCTGGGTGCCAGTTATAGGCATTATAGAGTCTTTAATTTTGCGAGAAAGGGTGGTTTTTGGTACTCCATAGCGCTGGGCAGCCTTCTAGAAGGACATATTGTCACTGTTCACAGCTGCTATCGCCTCAGCAAGGTCTTTTTCGGTGTATAAAGGCGCCATTTTGACGTACTGAAGCTTATAATACTTACTGAAAAAAAAGGAAAAAAAGAACCACAGAACTTCTGCCTGGGTAGAGGGGATAAGGGGCACGGGTCCCATTACCCCTCAGATTAGGGCCGGACGTGCTAACTTCCGAACCCCGCCACGGGACATCCCGCTGTAGGACATCTAATAAATTCCACATTGGAAAAAACACCAAGAAAAGACAATTCAGACAATATATTTATGATATTTACAGCTTCAATCCCGATAGAGATGTGGGTGGGTGCAAATGTTGTGTTTTGGTGGGGGAACTGTCCCATCTGGGGGGCTGTCCCATCTGCATGCCCCCGCCGTTAGTGATCGAGAAAAAGCCATGGTGCATGGACGATGCCTAGTTTACGTCGGTATTTGTTCCCACGCCGTGCAAGCAGAGAAAACTCCACTGGCGATCTTGTGGACTCATCTTGCTACCCCGCTCAGTTGAAGTCGAAGCCCAGCAAAGCTGTATCTGCGAGATTCAACGTTTGTACGACCCAGAAACGGCGAGGGGGCTACTGGTCCAGAACGAGTCCTTAGAACAGGCCAAGTGGGATCAAATTGTGGAAGGTCAAACGAGGATGGACCACATGTGGCCAGTTCCCAAGCGGGGTAGATGAGTTGTTGGTTTGCCTGCCAACGCCACTTCGGGCGACGGGCTTGGGGGCGAAGCCGTGTGACATAGCCATATCGGTACCCCTTGACAGTCACGTGCTCCTAACGTTCATGATTGTCGAAGATGAGTTTGAGTGACAAACAGGACTGCACAGATCTCCGGTACACATTGCCAGGAACAGTGAAGAGTACTTTATTCTGCGAACAACCAGCCTTGCTCGAGGTGCATAGGCCAAAACACTCGCTCCCATGGACTTGCGCATGTAGTCTTGGACCGTGTTCGTGGTAAGCACGCGGATGTTGTGTCGTGTTGCAAACGCCCCTTGCAGTGTATCGAAGTCATGAAATGAAATGACAATCAAATGGAAAGCCGCAGAGTCTGCATTGGTAATAAGAAGAGGTGGTACAGTGGCTACGGGTGATTACCTACGGCGTCTGGCATGATCTCCCCAACAGATGTAGCACGAATCTGGAAAGGGTCACCAAATTTAACGAGCATCTTAGTTATCATCACGTTCCCCCTATTTCGGTAAGAGAACCAACAATTCGGTATGGGGCGCGATGGGCTGTTCGGTTGGGTCACTTGCTTGCCAAGTCACCACTTCTAGAGCCAGGTTCACGTCAAACAAATAGTCTGGGGAACATTGCAAAATTAAACAAGTATAGCTTCAACTCGTCACGGCTACATTCTGCACCAAATCAACGTGAAACTTTGTTACACACATAGTGTCTCGAGTAGATGCAATCTGGAAGGCACTCGACGGGCAAACGTTTGGCTGTACAACCGTCATATGCTTCCTAAGACAATGCTCGATCCGCCGTGCGTTCCAGCAGGTCGCCTAAATGTCATGTTCGTGGTTCTGCTCCGAATTGGTAGCAACACTCTTTCGATGCCGAGTCTGGATTGACGCTGGTAAGCATATTCGTTGCGGACGGTTCGCTGACACGGGCCATGGTTCTCACACGGTCAGAAACTATGAACGCTTTGTTCCTATGTTTGCGCGGGAAGGATCAAGTCAAGTCTCGTACTCGCCTCGGAAAGCATGTCAGCTCTCATCAAAGCCTGGGTTACATGCATTCCACTTGTCCGAGGAAAGTGGTCTCATGCGGACGGGTGCCACCAAGCGTGAAGGCTACCAGACCCTTGAGAAATAAGGCCTTTCTGCGCATAGAGTATCTAGTAGCACACCTCGAAAGAGGGTACACTTCCCAAGATTCCGAGTCTCTGTGCCTGGAATTTATATAAGTTTCAGTCAATGTCCCTGCTAACATTGGAAATCATGAGAGCATCAGGCCGCTTTTACTGCCGCTGTTGAAGATACGGACTTCTCTGCCGTTTCGAAAAGGTAGTTCAAGATGGGGAACACTAATTCTTCAACGTCGGTTTCTTCGATGTCGCCCTGGCGCAGCACCCAAATCAGCCATGCCGCCTCTGAGGCAACAAGGACTCTCTCTGGCAAGATACCACCACCCCGCAGCACCTTTCTCTCCGTCACGAAGACATCCGATCATGAGAGCTCCAGTCATACATCTGCCGTGCGAACCTTGACTTTTTGCGAGTGGGACTGGATCGGCTCCACCACCTCCTGCAGCGCCTGGACCGAAACGTACCGTCCGTCTATTCCTGTCCCAAGTTCATCGATGGACTGCGATACGCCTCTGCCGACACGGAGTCACTCCCACACATCCACGGGATACACATGCACAGATTATTCGTGCGTCAGCTCAGTCATCGAGTCCCTGGGGTTCTCGCTGTGCATTCCCACGTACACTCTCGAGCCGCCATACACATCCAGCGCGTGCTACAGTTCCGATTGCGACCCGTATGCAACTGAAACGACAGAATGCGACTCTTGCTACCCTACGACCTACACGGAAGAGCCCACTGACTATCCTACAACTGATGAATTCGCGACACCAACTAGCGAAATTACTGACGGGTCCCCAACCCCGACAGGCGAGACCACATACTACCCGGAACCGACTGAGTTCTCGCCCACGGACGAATACCCAACGCCGACTGACTATCCCACGGACGAGTACCCAACGCCAACCGACGATCCAACTGACGAATATCCGACCACAGCATACACTACTGATGACGTGCCAACGACATCAATAGAGATCGATACGTCGGAGCCCGTCTTTACCCACGAGACAACACATAAATCAGTTATAGAGCCATCTGTTACAGACACCGCTCATTGCGTAGAAGACTTGAATTGCCCAGCGCCCACAGCCCCCACTCCCTGGCTGAATACCGAACATCACAGCCGTTCGGAGCATCCGTACACATTTCCCACGCCGCACACCAGTGTTGAGGATGAGTGAGTCGCTTAGTTCGGGACGAAGTGCAAGGAGACGGCCGCAGTGACTATCACTCGAGGGGAGCCCGAGGATTAAGCCCAGTGAGCTGAGGGTCTAATCGAGAGGCGGCTGGGATGAGGAAGATGTAGGATATTATGACGGTCATGGATTTTCTCAGATATGGTATCTTTTCACATGTCAACGATGTATCCACGAGCGTCATTTTAGTGAGCTCGTAGCATCCTGAAATATGGGAGTTCAACTAAGTACTGCGCGATGGTGCGCTGTAGGTGGCGTGGCAGCTCACGACAACACCCAGATAATGAGACTTACTCTTCTATATGAATGCATGCATTTATTTCACCGCGTACTGAGTCAGCTTCGACGTTGTGAGTGACCCAGGTCTGCACGAGGCCTCATGGGGCGGGCGGCCAAGCCCGTGGGGTGAGACGCCCGCATGGTGGCTGAGCGACGTGACTCAAAACCTTGAAGAATATCGTGAGTCACCACCGCTGAGATTCAGCTACAAATACAGTCCTTCCCGACGCCGCTCAGGACATCTAGAACATCACTCGACCACGCATCAACATGGACGAAACACTGAAGAAGCTGGCACCTAATCTGCTCAGATCTGAGGCTGACTCTAGGCCAGTCGTGGTAATGATGTGCGGCATCGCAGGTACGCAAACGCGAGCAGCGCGCGCACGGGAACATCCGTTTGACGTCGTGCCCATCACACGATAATTGGCTAGTGACCCCAAGATAGAAGTCGAAGCTGACTCCACTATAGGGGCCGGCAAGTCAACGCTCTCAAAAGCAATACTATCCACCCATCCCAGCTTCGAGCGCCTATCAATCGACACCACCATCGCAGCCAAGCACGGCATATACGCAGTGGACTACCCTCCCGAGAAGAGTGCCGAGTACCAAGACGAGGCTGCAGACGAGTGCGAGTCGCGTTTGGTCAGCTTGCTCGCACAAGGCGTGAAAGATGTGGTGGTGGACATGTCTTTCTACAGTAAGGACGACAGGGCGCATTATAGACGCCTGGTGGAGGAGCATGATGGCAGGTGTGTTCTGATCTACCTTCGGGCGGCTAGTAAGGAGGTGCTTTGGCAGAGGATCCTCCAGAGGAGGCGGAATGGCATCAACGCGGATTCGGCATATGAGATCACGGAAGAAATAATCGATGCATACTGGAGCGGTTTTGAGGCCCCGGTGGGTGAAGGCGAAATCATCATTGAGGTTCAGTAGAGAATATTATATTTGATGATTGGGGTCGTGCAATTTCCTGCGCTTCATCTCATCATGATCGTTTTCAATTTCGATTTGATGTTGGCTGACTTGGACGATCCATCTGACCCCTGGATGGGGAACCAGGAGGCCTATAGTGATGGAAAAGAAACCCATCGCCGGTTTTCCGTAAGCCTAGAGAGAAGACTCGGCAACGAAGATACGCTTGGATTCCTGAATGGGTTGCCTGTGATTAGACAGTAAGCTAGAATGGTATGACAGTGCGTAATACTTGGAATAAGATAAGTGTAGATGCGATGAAGCCAGGGTGTCCTCGTGGTTGTTGAAGTCTCAAATTGCGGATAATCGTAGACATGAAAAGGGCTAGGATGTAATTGACAATTCACCTACGTATAATTGTAAGCGTGCCAGGATGCATGCTATATCTCCAAGAACAGCGTTGTTTCTAAGAGTACATATTTGCTGTCATTGTAACCAAGGAGCTCCATACAATATTGGGCGGCAGGGCATGCAGTACAGCCACGCAACCTCTGCCGAGTCCAAGCTCGTCTCGATACCGATGCCACGATTCACATGTCACTTGGTCGAGGATTTTCCAGGTTCAAAGGATTACATCGTTTGCCCTGAATCAGGTCAGATTATTCCTGGTCCCATGTGGAATACCGTACATTGGTCCCATAGGGGGTAAACACTTCATGCCCGGTTGATTACTCGACAATGAAGTTGTCCATTGTGCTATTGTAGCACACCGCCTGCGTAGCTAGCAGTCTATTTCAGCTGCTGGCCATCAATCCGTTCTATCTATGGATTACAAGTGGTCAATGCTTGGGGAGATATGAATGGGTGGAGATATCAGTGGATAGGAGAGATGAATGGGTGGGAGATACCAATGGGCGGGAGAAATCTACCCACGATAAAGCATATAAGCCGTGCCAGAGCTCGCATTTGCCTTATTCCTCTTCCTCTGCAAAACAGACACACACACACACACACACACACACACCGTCTACTAGCCTTCTCCGGGCCCATCACCACCACCCTCTCGCACACCACGAGAGTGACCAACTAAAGCCTGTTTCACAAAAACAACTGCCACTATGAAGGTAAGATCAGCTCGATAAATCCGCCTTGAAACTTCTAGCTAACGCATCCGGTCCAGTGCTTCGCAGGTCTCGCTCTTTGCCTTGCCGCCATGACCATGGCCTTGCCCACCGACCTCGGTAGCAGCGTTGCCACTGCCCACACCGATGCCCAGGAGTACGACACCGCTCCCACCAATGACACCGCTTCATTCAACAGTACCACTCCCGCCAACGATACCGCTCCGGCCACCGGTCCTGATGGCGATGAGAAGGGAAAGACGTCTGGCGGTACACGTACCAATGCTACCAGTCCTCTGTCAAGGTGCAGTGCGTCAACCTCTTCGATTCCTACTGTACCGCCTATGAAGGGTTCCTCTTCAGCGACAACCCGAGACTGTGGCGCCCCGAACTGCTGGTGCCAAGGATACGATGCAAGACCGTGTCCCCAAAAGGGACAGTGCTGAAGGTAGGGGGGACTGGGGTTATGGCTGGAGCGCTGAGGTCATTGCGAGGGATCTGGACTTGATCACGAGGCAGATACCCATGGTACTCAGTTCACAACAAGAGGCGGTTAGTGAGGTCTTGCAATTTCCATAAATCAATTCCTTTACCACGCGATTTTCCCTGGGGATACCCAACATTTTTTTCAACAGTGACTTACGAATACTCTTCAATTCTACATGAAAAGGTCGCTCGATATCTACTGATACGGGTTATCTGCCTCGAACTCAGGCTCCCACAAACCCCTCGCCTCGCGAATCTGCAGCTGCAGCCCCTTGAGCAGGCCATACACAGTGCGCAGCGTGGGCATATCGACGCCACGAGCCTCGCCCTCGCGCAGCGGCTCGCCGACGATGTTCTCAATCTCCATGAAGTTGCTCTTCTCGACATCCTGGCACATACTGGGCTTGAACGCCGTGTCGGTCGGGTCGGTGCGGATGACCTTCTCGGGCAGGTCCGCGGGGATATCCGTCACGCCGCATGCGGCCGCTGCCGCGATGATCTCCTTCATGATGGGGCGGATCAGATCGTCGATCACGTGCCGACTCATGCGCATGCGCGCCGTGTCCATGCGCAGCAAAGACGCGACGGAGTTGTAGGAGGCGTTGTACAGGAGCTTGCTCCACCGCACCTTGCGCACGTCGGCGTCGAAGACGATGTCCAGCTTGCCTGCCGCGTTGTATGCCGCTATATAGCGCCGCGCCCCGTCCTCGGCTACTAAGGCCTTGACCCCTGGGTTGAGGAAGGGCCCGATACTCTGCGCGTCCGCGTCATCGTGGAGAATCTTGCCGTGCGCCTTCTCCGTTGTGCTGATGTACGACACGCTGCTGATGATGGCGTTCGTAGGGAAGCGCGAAATTACGGGCTTTTCGATGTTCAGCCCGTTTTGCGAAAGCACAACGGCGGTCTTGCCAGGCGTTACGGCGGGCGCAATGAGGTCTGCTACTGACGGCGGGACCTCGGGGACGTTCTTGGTGGTGACTAGAACGAAGTCGAACGGCGCGAGACGCTCGCCGGAAACGTTGGGGATGTCCTTGCGAACTGCGCAGGGGCGTCAGCAAGGTGAGCTATGTGGTTTCCCGGAAGCTTGGTACATATATTCGAATTTGCGGAACATACTTGCTGTCGGGCGCCATCCCTTGATATCATGGCCGTGTTCTATAGAGTCGATGTCGATGCCACTCGCCTCGACGGCGTCGTAGTTGGATCGCAGGACGGCCGTGACTTCTGCCTTGCCCCCTGACTCCAGCGCATACGCAGCCATTGTGCCAACTCCGCCCGTGCCGATAATCAACACCCGGGCCTTTGGTTCTGCCATAACCGACCAAGTATGAATGGGTTGATTGTAAAGGGTCACGATAGCGTCTGTAGTTGTGAAGGCCCTAATAACAGGATGACTGGACTGGCATTGGGTTGACGACTGACTTCACTTGCGTCCGGCGATGTGGGCGCCAACCTCCACAGGGGCGGAGACCTATCCATCAGCTATCAATTCCTTCCCGCTCCTTACCGTCCGAGAAAGTCGACACTCCACTGATATGCAGCTGAATCAGACTGTCAGATTTGATTGAGCCTGAAGTCAAGCGGCCAGTATCACTACTGAGGCCGGCAGTGCACCAGTGTGCACATATCGCAGAAGAGAAGAGAAAACGAACGAGTTGGCGACGAAGAGCTGGGAAGTGGGGTTGCGGGAGGTGTTGAATGGGAGCCGGAGATAGACACCGGAATATCTCCAGTGGGGCAGAGACGCACAGGGCATCTGACCCACCAAGAAGACAGATGATCAATCTCTGCACGCAGAGCAGAACAATCAATAGCATCCATCAATCAACATCCGTGTATTCAACAGGATGTCTCCACTATACATCTGCTCCTAAGGTAGCATGATGGCTGCTATTGAAACCCAACCCTAACCCTAACCCTAAGCAGACAGAAGGCACAAAGAGCACTGGACATAATATTTAAAGATAACTATCTCGTATAGTAAGATCTATATATAAGAGGTGCTAAAATTAAGCGAGTTAAATAAAAAATAACTATATGTCAAATGTTGGATCCCAGATATGGTGCCCTTAGATGCAGTACCCATTATGGGGCTGTCAAAGGAACAGTGGATACACCCTGGCATGGTGCAGTATGGTATTTAGCTGTAGATTAGCCCTGCCGAGCATACTTGAGAATGACAACAATATTTGCAGCGACCGGTCACACCACCAAGGCTTGTGACCCTTCTAGAATCTCACACTATATTAGTTTATATTAAACTAGTGTAAAAAAACTCGCGGTATAATTATCTAAGCTGAACTTTAACCTTTATCTCGAATATTATATCTTAAGTCATTACGATTAAATAAGTAATGGAGAAGTTGCTGCCTACTCCGCCGGGTCTAGCGGCATGCCCGACTTGGCATAGCGTCTCATCTGCCTGTACGCGCTCGCGTACTTACACAGTGCAGTCCGCCGCATCTCATAAGTACGGACGGCGCCCCCGACGTCCCTTTCTAGGTACTCTCTACATTCCCTCTTTCTACTCCCGCCCTCGGTCCTTTGGGTCTTGGTTTCACAGCTGTTCAGTTCCACGCCACCCGCTGTTGCCTAGACGCTTGACTCACAGCTGACTCTGAAAATGACTTTAGCTATTTTGGGAATCTGCGAAGCTGCCCACCTGGACCCCCACCTGGACCGCCACCTGGACCCCCACCTCGACCCCTACCTCAACACACATATAGTGGCTTTTGCCACCTCGGCTGTTAATTATCATCCATCGTTTGCTGGAGTTTGAATACCTCTTTGCCCAAGCCGTAGAGTTTGGAATGTCTGTATAGGGGCCCAAACTCTGCCAGATAATTTCATCAGGTGCTGGACGCTGTGCGGAGTGCTCAGGTGACTACGCCAGGGGGGGAGTACACCCATCCTTCGGTAGTCTGCAGCATGCGCAGAACAGGTCCTCAACGGCAAGGGGCAATCAGTCCTTGCGTATGGTTCCAAAATTCGCTATGAAAGTCTGAACAAGGACCGAGCGAGGCGTTACGGCCCCCTACACTGGGCGCTTATTTAGCTCAAACATTTCCTTCTTGCTCACGCAATCAGATTGTTGCAATAACCCAGCCATTTCATGCAAATAAACAGAATATATTAGCTAACAAACCTTGACCCTCAATCGTCACTAGAGGCCTCCGAGTTGGCTGAATGAGGCAGGTACTCTCATACTCTGTTGCAGCAACTCCAAGAATCGTATGACCACGGGAGAAACTATTGGCTAGTGATGATCGCGGCGGATCAGTGTGTTCTGATGATATCTCTTGGCGGTAGTGATCGACAGCACGATGATGTTCAGTGCTCGTGATATTCACGCTCTGGCAGATTATCCACTTGGTTTGGGTGTGACTGCTTATATCTCGTTTCGGCTGACGATCAATACCCGTTCTGCTCAGCTCTACGTTTTGAGCCAGCTATAAAGTCAAAGTTCTTGTGTTCTAGAGGATTCTGCTCTAAAGCCAACTCAATAACTTGTTTGTTACTCTTGACAGTCTAGCAACAATGCTGGTCGATCTTAGTTATATCAATTTCTACACACCCCCCAAGCCAACTGTTTCACCAAAATCTGATTTTATGAGAAAACCGGGTTTCCACGGTCGTATCCGATATCCCAGTTCGAACGGGACCGAAGAGAGCCATGACCAGCAAGGCTCAAGCCTGCCTTCTGGATCATGCCCGCTGCCCAGCGACGGACATCCTACCTCGGAGAAGACTGCTACTGGGACCGCAAATGACACAGCTTACTCTGCGTCACTCACTCCCGAGGTAGTTGTGGCATAGGGCTGCTCTGCTCCCTCACTGATAAAACCGTATGAAATGCAACGAGATCAGCCACGTTTTATGAAGGACTACCCAGATCATTCTTAAAGCACTGAAAGCCATGCTGGTCAGACGAGCGCAGTAGCCAAGACCGTATCCAAGTCAGTACAATTCCCTCTGCCTCAGTCACCACCGCCGAGCAGCGCGATAGTTTCTTCATTCGCAAATACAATGCCTGATGCCTTTCAGTTACTACACCAAAGGTCAGGGACTGGTTCTACTGAAGAGCACCGTAAAAAGCGAGGCTACTCATATATGCCTCCTGGTACTTATTCAGAAAACACCCTCTTAGACTGTGCAAATTCTGGAGTATCTGAAAACAGTGCGACGCCACCCTTCAATATGGGTGATAAAACATCTGATGATAGTAGTCGGGACATGGACTATTTATCACAGTCAGTTACTACCAATAACAAAGACAGAAAGATTGATCCGGATCCGCTTCCATCCAATGGTACATCTGACACAGGATCTATCAATCAATCATCTGCAGCATTGTTTGAAGAATGACCACTGAAGGACGCGTTACTCAAGAACGTAGAGGTGGGCGGTGTAACGACGTTTCAATTGCAATTTTTGTGGGAGCCAGGGAGTACAATCAAGCAGTATAAACTGAGATAAAGGGTCGCAGCTCCGCAAAGGAAATCTCCAAGGTTTTCAAGAGCTGAAGAAGAACTACTCATTTAACTAAAAGACGTGAAGCGGCTACCGTGGGAAGCCATTTATAATGAATTTATGAATCGTTTTCCAAGACGAAGTAAGGCATTTCTTTAAGTTCGTTATTCTATAAAGTTAAAGAATAGGTAGGCTGTGTGCAATTGCCAAAGTAGTACAGAAGCGTCAGAGGGCGCTGCACGTATCAAGCGGTGACTGGCTCAGTGCCAAGTAGGCAGTGTCTGGGTAAAGGAACAGCAGCAAAGTGATCATGGATTGCAGGGAAATTTGAAACAAAGTGAAGCAGCAAAAACATATTCTTTTAACGGAAGAAGCCTAGTAGACAAGATGGCAATCCATGTACGCAATCAAGGTAGGTTTCAATAGCAAAATGCACAAAGGCTTCGGCACAACACGATACCAAGACATTGAACTTCAAGAACAAAGTGACTGTTGAAAGTAACAAAACAGTTGCTTCACCGTATCTAGGCCCCCCTGAAAACGACCGGACTGTGGCTATATGTACATCAGCAATGTTGCCCATCTCACCACCCACGAGCAAGATAACCTGTCTCAGCCTTCCCACAAGTCGCACTCTCATCCCTTGCATCAGGGGTTTGAATCGCCAAACATTGCCTCTGAAATCCATTCAACCCCAAGAGAGTCCGTGCACACCTTCTCCTATAGATTATGGCTAGTAGCCCAATTTATCTACTTGTAGGTAGCACCTATTGATATCTGTTAGCAGTAGAGCTCTGTCAATTTTAGCTAGGAAATGCGGCCAGCCACATTGATGTGTCCTTCAGCGATACTTTGATCCTTAGAAAACTAGCTTACTTCAATGCGCTTTAATTGTCAGGCCATAATCCAAGCTAATAAGGAAGAGGTGATCAAAGCCAATCATAATTGTGAAATTTGACACGCGGAATTAGGTCTTGTGCCAAAGAAAATATACTAGTTGGTAGGCGATTTTCAATCCCTGGAATAGGGTTGACATATAGACCAGGCGGTGTTTTATTGTAAGCCGGATGAGGTAGGCGGTGTCAATACGCTTTGATCCTGCTTGTGATCTAATTCCCTTACCGCCTGTTCATCCCCTTACCGTCAGCTGAATTAGTACCCCTCGCCTACACGATTCTGATACCGCCTGTCCGATGTAGCACCGCCTGCTTAACGCGGTACCGCCTTCCTGATGCGACACCGCCTGCTCAATGCGACACTGCCTGCTTGATGCGACACCGCCTGCTCAATAAGTCACATCTTGTCGGATTAAAGATAAACCCATAGGGCACCTTTCTAGGTAGACAACAGAACCTAGTTGTTCTGTTCCGGTCCAGCCCCCCTCTTGCACAAAGCTGCCACGGTCACACAAGAACATGACAGACAGACACACACACTTCAACCTCACGATTGGCTCAAAATCTGGTAACTGTACGTTTTGCGATTAACCTGATTACTACGAAGAGACAATAGAAATAAGGGTGAAAAGAAAAGGGTAACAGAGGAAGGCAGATTTAATGGGGCTTGACATGGGCAATCACTCCACATAGATGAGAAAAGAGTATATTAAGAGGAGGTCAACGTCTATGAATGTGCATTAGGTGTACTATTATACAAGCGGTGTCGCATTGGGCAGGCGGTGTTGCATCGGGAAGGCGGTATTAGGTACGCAAGGTGTACCAATTCAGCTGATGGCAAAGGAAATAGGCAGGCGGTGAGTGACATGTCCTATTGTGGATGTTTTAAAAGACATCATGACCAGTAAATCGACCATGCGCGAGAATTGGATTATACTCTGGAACTGGATCACGGGCAAGAAGTGAAGTCTAACGGCGGGGGCATGCAGATGGGACAGCCCCCCAGATGGGACAGTTCCCCCACCAAAACACAACATTTGCACCCACCCACATCTCTATCGGGATTGAGGCTATAAATATCATAAATATATTGTCTGAATTGCCTTTTCTTGGTGTTTTTTCCAATATGGAATTTATTAGGTGTCCTACAGCGGGATGTCCCGTGGCGGGGGTCGGAAGTTAGCACGTCCGGCCCTATTTGAGGGGTAATGGGACCCGTGCCCTCTATCCCCTCCAACCAGGCAGAAGTTCTGTGGTTCTTTTTTTCTTTTTTTTCTGTAAGTATTATAAACTTCAGTACGTGGAAATGGCGCCTTTATACACCGAAGAAAACCTTGCTGAGGCGATAGCCGCCATGAACGGTGACGATCTGTCCCTCCGGAAGGCTGTCTAGCGCTATAGAGTACCAAAAACCACCGTTTCTCACAAAGTTAAAGACTCCACGATGCCTATAACTGGCACCCAGCATAAAGGACATACTTGCAGACAAAAAATAAGCCCTGCTGAAGAAAAGAAAGTAACTTTATAGATTCTGTACCAAGAAAAGGCTGGCCATGCCCCTACTCACGCCAATATGAGGTACATCATCCAGAAGATCCTATAATCCTAAGGAAAACCGCCTCATCTTGGGGGCCATTACATGCGAAATTTTATCTGCTAGAACCCAGAAATAAAGACCAAGATGGGTAAAAAACTTGATTACAAGTGTATCAATACTGTCATTCCTGACAATATCCATGGCTATCATGACTATTACACAGATTTCGACTTTATCAAGTCCGAGAACCGCACAAATATCGATAAGTACGGCATTATGCAGGGCTGGCAGTACGTACATCCAATCCAAGTGTTTTTCAGACAGCTAATCAGGAGGTTATAGGTATAATGGCCTTATAATAGGCAGTTCTGGCTCAAAAGGGGCCAATGTCAAGTCCAACGATAACCGCACGTGGACTACCGTGATAGAATCGATCACTGCCACTGAGAAAAAGCTCCGGCCACTGGTTATCTTTAAGGCAAAGTCATCACAGATGCAGTGTTTCAAAGAACAGCTTATTCTGGAGCATCCTGGGGTGACAGACTGGATAGTGACTTACTCTATTAAAGGCTGGTCCTCGAACGCGATCGTGCTTAAATGGCTTAAAAAGGTTATTTATTTTTTATTTTTTAATATTCATAATATGCTAAATAACCCCTTAGATCTATCTGCCAGATACTGCCTATGAAGACCCAGATGAGTTCCGCTTATTGGTGCTTAATGGCCATGGCAGCCACTGCTCAGATGATTTTATGTATCTGTACTATATAAACAACGTTTATCTGAGCTTTTTTCGTGCCTATATAGTAAGTTATATCTTTAATTACTTGTTATTCGGCTAATAGAGGTAGTCTCACATCTTCCAGCCCCTAGATCTGACCGTTTTCTCTGTGATGAAGGCCGCCTATCGCCGCCTCATTAACCAGCTCGGTCAGTTGAATGATTCGGCCCCTATTAGCAAGATTAAGTTTCTTTCTTGCCTGGCGAAAGCCCGTGCCAAAGCTACTCCTGTTATCGTGCACTCGGGATGGCGTGCTGTTAGCCTTTGATCCATAAATAAGAACAAGACACTGGCAAACAAGTATGTGGTAAAGGCAGCAGAGATACAAGCAACAGCTGCTGCTATAATGAACCCTGAAACCACCCCTGATACCCTGGAAGCCCCTACATCAGGGCAAGATATAGCCCTGATGTTGTCAATAGTCGCGGAGAGCCCTGAGCAACGAGCAGCAATACACGCGGTCGCAAAGTCATACAATGAGATGGTGATTAAGTTAGCCATCCTGAAGCTACAAAACGAGGCAAAAGACAACAAGATCATGCATTTACAGCCTAAAAAGTGCCATAAGGCCCCTCAGGAAGAGCCTAATCAATGGCTATGGAAGATAAGAGACGTTATTCAGAAACAGATCGAGCATACAGAGGCCGCACAAGTACTGATTGACCAGCAGGCGGAGAGACGACGACTTTTGTGCGAAGTGTAGAACCTGGAGACCAAAGAATCAGAGGAATCGCCTTCTAAGGACTCCCTCTCTTCTGATTCAACAGATTTAGAAGATCTAAATAAAGGGATAATTATTGACAAAGAGGGTAAGGGGGTGTCTAACAAGCAGGATAATGAAGAGGAAGAGCCCATTATGATGCGATCTCGGCACCGAGAAATCCGCCAATCTGCGTGCTACCATTCAAGCACTGGTATTGCTAAAAACACCAAGAAAAGGCGATTCTTTTGATATATATACATTATCTATAGCCTCAATACCAATGGGGTTATCTGTGGGTGCAAATGTTGTGTTTTGGTGGGGGAACTGTCCCATCTGGGGGGCTGTCCCATCTGCATGCCCCCGCCGTTACTTGGGTTGAACTTGCTTATGAGAGGAAAGCAAGTCTCATCATCACCAATCCTCATAGTCCTCCGCAACGCTTCCCTCACGGTCTCTCAGAAGTCGGCCTTGACGACAATCCAACCGGACGACTCTACCACCCGACCGAGCAGACCACGGAAGGCGGGATCTTCGTTCTGATAGTACTCAGCATCCCTGCGCGCCCGGTCACGGTTAGCCGAAACCAGACCTCCCACAATGTGTGTCTGGATACGTTGGCACTTACTCCTCGTTGGTGAAGACGACTTCGACCGCGATGGTCCCTGGCTGAGAGCCGGGGTGGTCTGTCATGACAGCGCATTTGGCCGCCTTCGAAGAGATGATGTAGGTCTTGCCGTCGGGCTGTTGAACATGTCAGCGGGAGCCTTTTCTTGACGGTCAGTGTTGGGGGGACTTACCTTCTTGCAGTCGTTGACGAAGTTGGCGAGGACCTTCACCGCCTCTTCCTGCTTCTCAGGACCTGCGACCGCGATCAGGGAGATTCGGGTGACCCCCATCGTGGCTTATATATGCAAGTTGTGCCGGAGCGTCTGTGCAGGATGGATGTATGAAGACTGGGATATTTCTAAGCCTTCTCGTCGAGTTGTTGGTTCATGCCTAGGTAGTCAGGGACTTAGCCAAGCCCGCAGAATACACCATGATAGGTATTAGCACGACTAGTATGTCAAGGATATCATTGAGAGGAGGCTGAAAGGAGCTTGGAGTATGAGCCAACTAAGGACCGAGAAATGAAAACTAGAGGCTGATGATAAAAATGTAGTAGCATCTTGAGATTTCAACTCGTGAATTCATATATGCCCTTCGTCGCACCTGCTCGCGGCTACAGAAAAAATCGAATATCCAAAACTTCAAGTTCTGCATTCTCACGGTCACGCTTGATGGCAGTTATTCACGCGTTGCGCTCGCTCACATCACGATAAGCCATACCGTTTCATCGGAAGCTAGGGCTAGAGGTACGATCTTCCCAGCGAGCTTGATTACAACGGTCCGGAACAGCCAACTTCCCAAACACTCACCAGCATCTTGCAACTCGGCAATGCTCACACGATGCTACCGGACAGAAATGTCGGCAACCCCTGACGTCTCGAGGATATCTAGTGTGCGGCTTTTACGCACTATCGGCGAGGATGAGGATATCGAAAGCGTCCACAGGAGTTAGGTCCGCTCAACGCCGGACCAATCCAAGGACCAAAACTCGCACCAATTTCCAAGCAAGAAATCCGGTGGTAGATCTAGATTCAAGGAGGGGTCATGAGAAAAGCACCAGCACTTGGTTGACAGCGAAGTAAAATGAACCAATATAAACCCGATTTTCCTGCTTCCTGCACGCCTATGGTGGTTTCTATAGTTCGGGGCAGACTTGTAGTCTGAGTCCCCTTGTACACCAGGAATTCAGTGCGGCGTGGGTGCTGTACCGTGCGGAATGGCCCGCACCAGAATGCCTCGGAAAGGATCGAAGCTCACTCCTTTTCATCCTTGTAGTCGGTAGCCACAGTCAACCTCTTGTTTGAATGCCATTGTCTGAGACTCGCGGTATGTGGGTTTCCTCCGCAGATAATGCGCATTGTCTGCGAGCTCCTGAGCCCTTCCTGGTCATAAAAACCGCCTCTGATCAACATGTCCTCCTTTGCAATGCTGATTTCGGTTTACCTGATGAAGAGCTCCAGTCCTTCGGTATAGCCCCGTGCACGCGGGAATATTGCCGTGTCGTATTGTCACTTCACGGTGATCGCCCTGCCACTATGAGTGACATTTGTCCGACATTCGACGGCATCGAAATAGCCGGCAGAAGTGCCGTGTAGTACTCAGCATTGGCCGAAAGGCCAGACACGAAGCAATTCGGGGGTTCGCAGTGGGACAAGGCGCGACTTGGCAGTGACTCAAAGATAACGAGTCCTAGATCCATCGCCGCGTTTCATGCGGTGAGTTATCTGCCTAGTCAGCTGCACGCTTGCAGTGACTTGCACAAATCAATGCAATTCGAGACATCACGAAGGAATCTACTGACACAACGCGTCAGGCATCGGACAGGCCCCGCTAAGCCCGCTGGGGTTGTCTCCTCTTGACCAAATGGATGGGACAGTGCAGGCTTCGGTGAGTACATGGGGACGGGATATTTCGACTAAGAAGAAGGTACGTGCCGATGACTATGTTGGCTGCAGACGAGAACGTACTGAAGAACTTGATGCAAAGTCAAATTGTGAACCTTGCGTTTTATTGAAATGCCATGAAGGCCTCTCGCTCATGAACCAAGCTGTACGAAGTGGAATTAGACATACATTCTGCTCTTCGTGGAGTCAGAGTGATTCTTAAGATACCCGAGTGTGGAACTGAAGCTATTGTATATCGTAATCGCTACATTCTAGCCCCTCGCAGCGAAGGAATACCAAGACCATTCCTCCAGCGTTCCAGGAGCCGAGGTACCCCATTGATGTTCCTTGGCTGTGTCCACTTGAGATTACGGGTATCTCTGGGGTCCCCGCGATGATTCTGTTCCTTACTTCTGTTCAACATCTAGCGAGAGTACCCCAGATCTGACCCCTGCGTGAATGTGACAGTGTGTATTGAGCAAGGAACTGCGAGCCCAGCGTACCCGATATGAAAAAGACGATCGACGGCCTGCCTCTTCGATAGCGAAAGATGATCAGCGTCCGGGACACACGGGTCGCCCTATGATACTAAATACAGAGAACTTATCCGCCGCCAGTATGGCCGCGAGATTCTTCATCATGACATGCAGCTCATCGACGACGCCCGTCCTGGGTTCGGGAAAATGCTGCTCGACATTCAGGCGCACCATGTTCGCCCAGTGGATTGCCTCGGCATTCGACGGTAGCTGACGCAGGTCCGACATCTTCAGCTTTTTCTGCGCCATGACTCGGAGAAGGTAGTCGAGCGTCTTGCGGTGACCACAGGCGAGACGGTCAACCTCGTCGGGGATGGCCGACTCGTACCCCTCCAGCTTATTGTAGAAGCTGTCCGAGATGATCACAGTGCCGGTCGGCGCGAGCCGCTCGGAGATCCTCGCGACTACGTCTTCGAACACGCTATCTTGGCAGTGGGCGAGCATGCCTCTCACGATGACCAGATCGTACGGCACTTCTGGGTCGGGCAGCATGTCGATATCCTGCGCGTTGCAGAGGAACAGGTTGACGCGCCGCTCGAGATCGTCCGACATGCGCGCCGCGAAGTACTCCAGCTGGCTCTGGCTGATGTTGACGGCGTCGATGCGCTGGCACTCAGGGAAGCGCTCGGCAAGGTACCGGGAGATAGAGCCCCAGCCACACCCCAGATCAAGGACGCGATGGACTTTTGGACAGTCCGGCCCCGTAAGGCCAGCGATCTGCAGCTGTTGCTCGAAGTGGCGGTACTCGGACGGGCCGACGGGTCCTGAGCGGGCTCCCTTGTCCAGCTCGGCTTGGTCGAACAGGCCGAATTGGAAGCTCAGGTTCTTGCCACCAAGAGCCTTCTCCCATAGCTCTTCGCCTGATGGTTTATACGTGTAGACGACCTTGTCTCGGTAGCTGTCAGGGCGGTCGGATTCGATGACCTGGAGCTTCGCTAGAGCAGCCATTGGAACGGGTCGCCTTGATAGGGTGACACAAGATGATATAGAAATATATTGTGTCTTGTTTCCCTACTGAGATGTGAAGACAGCGAGGTGCAAGTGTCACGAGAGATGGAACGGGTACCGCAGTGGGTATAGAAACAACCTGAGCACGAGACCAGCGGAAGATGCGGGAAATCATGTCGCATATATACCCACGGGTAGCTCACGTCCTATGTACGAAACATCTTACGAAGTAGGATCGATTAAGCGCTTACCGTCAGCGAATGCGTGGTGCGTATGGAGTCAGGCAAGCAGCATGGGTGAGGTCCTATACAGTCCTGGCGGGCTCCGACTCCCCGACTCCCCGTGGCCCAAGAGACAGAGCATGGAAAGCGATCCTTCAACTGCAGCGGTGAGGGGTTCAAACGTGTTCTGATCACAAACATGATCCCATCCGCGCCAGCCACGCGGCGTCGGGGTTTCACAGCTACAAAAGTAACGGCAACCCTGTCTGCTTCTTAAATAGATCGTGAACACGCCGTCCGAACTCTGTGCGCCAGCTGTCCTGGGTTCGCAGCATTCACGTCGATACCAACATGTCACAATTCCGATCGAACGTCTTGACGGGTCTCGTCGCCCTTCCCCTGGTCAACGCACTTGGACACCTGCTCCCCGTCATGGGCACTGCTTGGGCCGTGGCAGGGGAGTTCACCCTCAATCCGCCTGTCCTGATCCTCAACTTCTCCTCGTGGATGATCTTGGATGGTATGGCTGGTTTCCTAAGATGAACGCTTTCGGCACATATGCTGACGCGGACAGTATATGATAAGTATAAGGACATGCCCAGAGGCTCGAAACCCAGCCGATCGAGTTTCCTGGCTTGGATTGGCCTTTTCTTCCTTGCGGCTATCTGGGCAACGTATCAATGTGGCTGGGACGTCGCCGTATGCGTCTTCAGATTGCTCTGGCTGGAGTTGCTGTGGCCGACCCCCTCCATTCCCACATACTCTCGCGAGGGAGGGATCCGGCTTGTGAAATTGAAATCAATTGTAAGCACCCCGAACCGTCTCTAGCTAGGTCAGCAAGAAGTAACATGTCTTCACATGTAGCTCGGAGTGGGTAAATCGGCGTTCTGCGGGATCCTAGCAGGCTTGATGGACACCCAGGCGTCTGCGGTCTATACCTGCTCCCAACATCCTTCACGATGTTCGTCAATGGTCGTACCCAGGAAAGCAATGGCATATGGTGCGCTCTACAGCTTCGTTCGAGAAACAGTGTATGACGCGAGGGACATTGAGGAAGACAATCAGCAAGGGACCGCGACACTCCCCACAGCCATTGGACTACGGACGACTATGCTCGTCCTTGGATTGACCACAGCCGTAGGCGAAATGCTCATCGCAGGAGCAGAGTGGAGGTACCTCCACATGCTTGCTCGAACGCTGTTTTCGGTCGGTGTGACCTCGTTGGTGCTGAAGTATCCCCGTCGGTATAACGCTGCCTGGGCTCTGTTCTGTGCGTTATCACTCATCCCAGCCTTTCAGGGTCAGATAGACCTACTACTATAAGCGGTAGGGAGGAGCCAGCTTATAGTGTCAACTACTGGGGTCCTGTGCATCGCCGCTGGGTTCGTTGGTCTTGCATTTTCATCTCAGTGGGTAGTAACGGCGACCATCTTCTTGACCTCCCAGGGTGGTGATATATTCAGCCTGGACATTTTTGATGATGCAATATGTTAATTGAGAATCAACGCGGTCCTTGCTTCCACACCCAACGGGCCTGATAAAAGCAGTGATACCCCTAGATCTACCAGTGACGCCGTATCTTGAGCCATATCACGGATGATGAATTTCAGCATTAGCACTGTCGAATGAGACACTGCAGCAAAGTATTGGGATATGATAGCTGTAGCAGAGATAGCAACACCCATACCGCCTCATTCACAACTGCAGGTTCGCGGCGTGGGGCGAACCCGACGCCCCGGGCGATCTCACCTGCATCTGCACCTCGCCGTGAGATCGGTAATGTGGCGTGCTGCATAGTTGCAAATTTCTACGTCCTATCAGTATGACTGTCGGGTCTAGATTACCCGAGACAGAGACTTCATCTTTTGAAGGATCTCGCGAGGATCCGAGCTCCTACAGAGCGAAGACCGGAAGTATCTGTCTAGGGTGAACTCCTATCTCTCTGGCTTGGAACCAGAACGCCATAGCCGCATGCAGGTCATCTTGGCCGTTCCGCCGTTCGAGGCTTCGAGCTGCAGGATAAGCCGCCACCTGCCCCCACGTTGGATTAGAAGATCAGGGTTCCCCTCACGCATGCCATGAACGAGGCTCCCAATGTCGCGAACGACTTCCCCCGGGGCTTCCGACATTGTGATAAGCGTGCTCACTAGGTCCTGATCCTGAGCGTATATTTGAAGACATATGGGTCTGGTTATATACACCATGTTTGTTTACTTTGCCTCATGTAAAGTGGTACATATCCGAAAGGAAATGCAGTCCACTGTCGGTCTGTCTGCTTTGCCTCTGAATAGTGCACTGGATCTTGTAAACTGGCCTCCGGGTGCGGCCAATGTTTCTGACCATTGACCGTGACCTGCCATATTGGAGCTCCTTGCATCTCCCGAAGAACCTGATCGGAGTCGGGCGCAGGAGTAGCAGCCGGATAACAGCTTTGTAAAAAAGGAATGGCGGCGTTATCGGACTCGACGACGACGGACTAGAGCAGTCCGCTACGTCTCTTGTTCTTTTTGATTCTTGCTTTTATTCTTCTTATCTTATAATATTCTCATACGTCCCCGACCACCCAGGGCGGGACTCGTCAACTACACATGCGACCACGGGCGGGGATCATTATGATCCGGCGAGGCGCTGTGGTGGACGGTGATGTCGGTCGTCCTCGTGATACCCGGCTTGGCGGCCTCGCGGAGGACCTCGGTCGAGTCGGACTTTGTGATGTTAATCATGTGGAACTCGTTCTCCTCGTCCATCTTGGTGTAGTCGAGCTTGGTCCCCAGCGTGTCGGTGCCGCCTCCTCGCTTCCCACCCGTGGTTCGAATCGCGGTGGGACCGTCCGAGGACGTGGCGCCGCGTCTCGTGCTGGCCCGGAAGACGCGCCGGAGGAGCGGCGTGTCTTTGATCACGCGGGGGAGGGTCGGGGCGCAGGCGACGAACAGCCCGCACGTCACCTCGGCTGTGCACCAGACTATAATTTGGTGTTAGCGAAAACCCCCTCTCAAATTTCAGATTCATCTCGAATGTCTCAGAACTATGTTGCTGGAGTGATTCGGATCCTTCCCCATGATGGCTCTAGTACCGGGAGGGAGTTCTGTATAGGGGCAGAAGAAAGTGAGAAACGGGGGCTCGACTCACGCTCAACAGGTCCGGTGTAGAAGAAGACATCCGGCTCATTAGCGAGCATGATAGTGTCAATAAGCCTAAACACCGAGCATACCACACCGCTGTCACGCCTGTTAGCTAGTGAGGGAGTGGGGGTAAAGGCTCAGGGAACTGCAGCCATGAGTGTCGACTTACAGAGCGCCGAGCCCGAAAACGACCGCAAGACCAGCTTTCTTTCGGAGCGATAGCTGCAGGTCGAAAATGATCTTCTGCGGCAGCACAAGGATGGCAACGTCGGTGACCAGATGCACACTCGCTGACAACTTCTGCAGGGTCGGCAGGGGAATGCATGTGGCATCTGGCAGCAGCCTTATGTCCCAGATGGCGGCGTGTGGGAGGCACTGGACGTTCAGCAGCACCACGATGACGGGTAAAAACATGGCCTGTAAAGCGACAACAGCCATGGCGCCCCACCAGAAGTAACTCGTCGACCAGGTCCCGGGAGGGACGAAGATACGGCACCACTCGAGGGGGATCGACATCTTGACAAACGCCAGCGCGATGGAGTAGAAGACGCCGAAGAGAAAGACGTACTGGCGAAGGGTAAGCCAGAGCCAGAGCCAGGGCTCGCTTTGCCATCTCGCATTTTCAGGGGCGAACTCACGTAAAGAGCCGCGATCTCATCACCGACTGTCACATTCCAAGTGTGGACGAAGAAGCCGGGGTACTGGACGAACATGAAGGCCGTCCAAACCGTCAGAACAAATGTTAAGTAGCCTAGCAGAACGAGGACTGTTTGTTGGAGCATGGTCAGCCGTTGCTGGCCTCCACAGACCCGAAGGCCGCTTGGGAGGAGAGGGAGGTTGGGATCCGATTAACGCACCATCTTCGACCCAGAATTTCTTCGTGATAAATGCATTTGCGTACATGCGGATACATATGAAGATGGTGGAGATGATCAACATGAGCAGCAAGGCCCCCAGGCCCGTCGCGTTGCCGTTCGGCGGGTTTGTGAAGTTAGAGGTCTCGCCCGGGGGCGGCGGCATAGCCGGGGCTGAGAGGTCGGTGTACGCCATGGCTTTGCTTCCTGGCTTGTGAAGCAGCTTGTTGAACTAAAAATCAGTTTGACGAACAGGCGAGAGACATTTCTGAGCTGTGAGCCCAAAAGGGGACGGGGGTATTTATCACTGCTGCCAGCTGGGCTGGGCTGTTACCAGGATGCCGCTGTCAAGAGCAGCGACAGTTGTCTTAGATACGATCTACATTGCCTCCTCGATCTAGTGTCGTCCACAAAAAGGATCTAGGCACGGGGAGGTGGAGAATATTCTGGGGTTTTGTTTACCAACTTGCAGTATAGAGCTGATGATTTTGAAGTTTACCAAGATACGCCAGTCACCCGATTGGGACCCAAAAAGTCTCACACAAAGCCTTTCTAACTTGTTAAGAGCAGTATCTATGTGTGGTCATCAACTTTGGGGAGTTTCACCACCGCCAGCTTCCATTGCGTGGTTGCTTTTTCCTGTTTTGTCATGTTCACCACGTTTCGGACTGCTTTATGCTCGCCATGCGAGTCGCATGTTGCGACAACGTACAGAGAGTCCATCCCGGTGGGCGAGCGAGGCGAGCAATGGATACCTTGTCCTCGTCGTTCGAACTCTTGAGACCCGAAACAGATTGTCCCTCATCGGCTATCGACCCTACCGGCGACGCTACCATGTTCCGACTTCCACCTGATTAAGTCTGATTGGGCATATCAGCCTTGCCACCAAAATTCGACGTGGTTATACCCGGATGGACCAGGACAAGCGAGAACTTGAGACTTGCCCCACTGGTGATTTGTGACGTCTTATGGGCAGAGATCGAACGGCCTCCCGGGGCCGAGGATGTTCACCCGGCCCTTGTTCCTTGCCCCGCGGGTCTGACTACTGTAGTAAAGTAGTAGTATAGGGGTCCGTCCCACACCGGCGTGTTCAGCCGCCTCACCAATCGCTCGCCGTGTGTCAGGGCTGTCAAGATCACCCCATACGCCTATTGGCGTAACGCGCCGGCCTTTCAGCCCTGGGAAGATTAAGGGAATATGGAAACGATCAACGCAGATCGGCAAACCGAGGGACGCCGCCTTCCAGCTACCAAGCTCCCGTTTAAATCATGGAGGGTGTCTTCGGAAGTTTTCCTACCCAAGAACGCAGTAGCTGGCTACCAAGTATACCAATCACCTGAAAATCTCCGTCAAACCCGTCAATCAACGTTGAGCTTTTGCAGCATTTTGCCAGTGCCTCCGAAGATCTTTGGGATATAATGCAGGGCTGAAGATAGCAACAATTTGTCTTCATTATTCTTGCATTGGGGGCTTCTTGGGCAACGCACTGCGTCTCCTAGCCTTGACCTCCTCACGGCGATCATGAAATCCTCCAGCACACCCAAACCAAAGGTTATTGATCACGATCTGCACCCGACGGGCTGGAGGACAGACAAGGCCGAGGAGCGGTTCAAGCTCTCACTGTTCGACCCCATCATCCTTGTCGTCTACTGCCACTTCGCGCTGTACTTCCGGCTGGACCAGGATGACACAGCGCAGCGGCGGGACGAGGTGGCGGACGTGCTCAAGGAGGGACTGGAGAAGACGTTGAGTCAGGTGCGCCACCTGTGCGGCACTATCGAGACCGACGCCGCGGGCGGCTTCTCGTTCGTTAAGAAGCGGGATACCACGGTCCGCTATGTCGTCAAACACCTAGACAATCCCGCGCGGTACCCGTCCATCGACGACCTCGAGGCGGCCGCCTTCTCGTGCCGGTCGCTGGGGCCGGACGCGGCCGCCTTCGCCGTCGAGGGCATGCCGTACGGCGAGAACCGGCCCGAGTCGAGCCCGTACAACAGTCCCGCCACCAGCGGCTTCCAGCTCAACTTCGTGCGCGGCGGCGCCGTCTTCTCCTCGCACGTCCACCACTGGGCTGCCGACCTCGTCGGCTGGAGCAACTTCGTGCGCCAGCTCGCCGACAACTGCCGCGCCATCCAGGCCGCCCGCCGAACGGGCGCCCACGGCCATGTCCGTCCCGCCGTTGACTGGCCGCACTGGGACCCGGCCTGCATCGATGTCTCGCGGTTTGTATGGTCTGCGGCGCCTCAGCAGCTCGTTGACGGACCGCCTGTCGTACCGCCGCATCCGGACCAGTAAGCAGCTTCTCAAATTACCTATTTAATACTCTATTTGGCGACCTCAAAGAGCGGAGATCGCCTAGGAAAATAGATCATGTTTGATTCCACACAGGCTCATAGACTGCTTGCGACTGTCACGAGTCATGACTCGTCACTCCCACTTTCACCCCCAGAAAACTACCCAGTATATATTACTGACTCGAACTACTGTCTACCCACAGTCCCCGCGAGCAACAAGCGCTACTGTTCCACCTGCCCAAGAGCAAGGAGGCAGCCCTAAAGGCGGCTGCACAACCGCCGCAAGACGCCGGCGCGGGCCCCTCGTGGGTCAGTACCTACGACGCCATGTGCGCGTTCGTGTGGCGGGCGCTGACGCGCGTGCGCTTCCCATACTACAAGCCCTCGGCGGACGAGACGCGGTGGTTCGGCGAGAGCGTGGACATGCGAGGGCGGTTCCGTGACCCGACCCCGCCGCCGCCGCGCATGATCCGCAACATGCTCGCGGGAGGGTTCAGTGACACGGCGCCGGGGGTGCCGCTGCCGACGCTGGGGGAGATCGCGGGGTTGCAGGGGCTGGGTAATGTGAAGGGTCGTGAGCTGTGGCGGCTGGCGCGCTACGTGCGCCGGCTCACCGACAGCGTGACGCAGGCGAGCGTCGAGCAGGTTCTTGGTTATATTGCTACGCTGCGCGACCAGCAGTCGGTCAGCTTCAACCTGGCCTCCAAGCCGCCCATGAGCTTCTTCGTCACCGACCACCGCCCCGCCGACGTGACGGGCTGCGACTTTGGCTTCGGCCGCCCGCTCGCCCACCGCTTCCTCACCGGCAGCTCCGTCTCGCCCAACATGATCCTGGTCTACCCGCCGGCGCGGTCCGAGAAGAGCACGGGCGGCGGCGGCGGCAGAGGCGGCGATGAAGGCACCATCTGGTCCATAACGGTTGAGAAGGATCTTGTGTCGCGTCTGCTGGCGGACCCCGAGTGGTGCGAGTACTTTGAGTACAAGGGAGTCGACTGAGTTCGTAATATTGCTTGTAACTCCGCGTGCTCACTCTCTTCTAGATAGGTAGCGAGTCTCATCTAGATAGTTGGGACGTGAGATGTGATGCGCTTCCAGGCACACGTCTACCCGAGATGTTGGTTGCGATAAGAATGAGTCGGCCTATTTCCGATGCCTTGGGCTGGACCGGATCTGCACTAGGGCGTTCATTAGGTCGAGCTTCACCTGAATACTGGGGTAAGCAGTTACCATGGCCGGCGTGAAGACGGGAAGTTCCAATGTGTAGAGGGGAGAGGGGAGACTGCGTAAGCAGGCTACAGTTAATTGGCGGATGACCTCGCCGTCTCACCTCGCCGTCTCATGCTGTGGTTGTGCAATACTGTATCTCGAGACCTTCATGGAATGATGAGTTCAACCGGCCAACCCTCCCGTCTCCTGGAAAAACGAAGGAAGAGATCAGTCTTCCCCATCTCATCCGACCGATCTGCGGATCGGATGATCCCCCAGCCGCCTGCCCCAGAATCGACATGCAAGGTCAAGGATGCCAAGTCGCGTATCTACAGTAGCGGAGTGGCCCCTATCCACCATTGAGAGATCCAGCGGATGGATTCACTAACTGCATCACACAAGGCGTTGATCACGGCGACATCTCTTCAGAAGAGGCATCGACCGATAGAACGAATAATACGGGCAATAATCACCACCCCGATGCGAAACCAAGAAACGCCGTCTATCCGACGCGGTGACGCGCTCTTCACAACATACCAGACGTCAGATTCTACCACCCAGCAACCCCCGAACCGAAATCACCTGGTGCCCCCAGGTGATCTCTCAAAAGCCGCTGCCCGAGCACGGCACACGAAGGCTCAAAGATGTCGACCCACGGCATCTGGCGGATATCTGCCAAGCCGTACTCCCACGACAGCGACCCCGGCTTCCTCGTCAGCATCTTGCTGGCGATCATCTCCATCGCTATCACAGAGTCTTCATCATCGGGCTCACTTATACCGCAGAGAACGAGAAGCCAAAGGCGGATGTCGCATAAATCGGGACCGCTCCAGACAAGTTCCGGGACCGCATCAGACTGTCTCGCTAGTATCTGGAGCAACGTCGAGATACGCGCTGCGGCAGTTCCGGGATAGGAGCGACATCTTCGCTTCACGCGTATGATCCAGATGATGGCACCGAGCCGGAGGGCCTCTGAAATGATATCCCATCGCGTCACCGGCTCGGATCCTACCACTGCTTGGTTCAGATTCAGTAATTGGTGCGTGACTGGATTCAGGAGGAAGCCCATCTGCTCTTCGTTGGCCCATATGGCGCCACCTTTGGTCGCCAGCTCGAATCGAAGATGTGCTGCGAGCCCGTTCAGATCACCTATACAGGACACGACGTTCATGAATCGGGCATTCTGTGTATTTTCGTCGTTGATGATGCGCAGAAGCGGAGCGGGAAGCGCGTCTAGGCCCGAGCCACGGAATACGTCGGCGCTGGCGCTGGCCATGGGAGGAGGTAATGGAAACAGTGGTTTGGTGTCGTGGAGCAATGCTGCAGTGATGTCCACCCTAGAGTGACTTGTTAACACCTGTAACAGAACATGTCCCCAGCAATTGCATGGGTGATCGGTGTCGCCGGGCCATACCATGATATCATGAGCATCAGGTCCTGGTTGGCCTCCAGGGTAGAGATGCCACCTCTCGCCGTAACCACCATCCGCATGCCCTTCACGTGGGTCATCGCCTGGTCAAAGTCTAAACTAGTAAACTGATCTCAGAAACTTCAGCTGTGTGGCTTCTCGTTTGCCTTGGGCGCTACGGCTCCTCAAGTAGACAGTAGGCTGAGCTTACATTGTAGCAGACCAGTGCCAGCACCGCGTGGATTACACTATCAGACGTCGCGCTGCCAGCATCAGAGCTGGAAAGCCTGGACTCGACGCACTGGATGGTTTCCAAAGAGCGTTCCAACGCCAGGGATCGCAACGCTCGGGCGGATCTGCGGTACAGTGGGATAAGGACGTTGGGTGAGGTGAATATCTGTTGGTAGTGATGAAGGAAGGGCGATTTCCTGAAGGCGAAGGGGAACCAGAAGGTGTTTGTCGAGAAGGCTGTGTCCCAGTGATTGATGTTAGCAATAGTGGTTAGAATTGACGTCGATAGACGCCTTGGGTATCCCTACTGGAGCTCATTGCGTTTCTTCCTGCGATCATGATCAAGGTGAATCCATAGGCTGAGAACGAATCTTCCCCCCATTCCTTCTCGAAGACGGATAAGGCATCTAAGATGGGCGGCGTGGCATATAGTGCTGTGTATTGCGCAGCAGTCTCGGACACGACCAAATCCTTCCTCGCAGGAACTTGCAAGTGGTCCTCATCTCTACTCGTCAAATGCTCAGTCCGGCCTGTACTAGACACTGCCCCTGATATGTCTGCCAGGGACCATTCGAAAGTGCCGGATGGAGGTGCTTTCGATGGCTTTCTTCGTGACTTTCCAATGGCGACCATGAGATGGCGACGCACCTTGGTGTCGAGCGACCTGTTGCGGGTGCGACGTTGAGTGATTTTGGTAGGACTATGAGTATCGGCATGTAGGAAGAGGAGGCGTCTCTTCTCGGGAGGGCCCTCCATTTCTGATGGGTGTCAAGACGTAAGTAGCGATAGACAGTGAACCGGTTAAATCACAGCTGTCGATGACGACTTCCAGTGAAGCAGCCGTCCAAGACGGCGAGGAGTCTTTGTGTGTTATTCTGACGCGATACCTGTTCGTGAGATCAAGCACTGAAACCCAATCTTACTGCTCCCCACAGGGTGTACATGGATGATTTCTAATCAACGGCGCAAGCAGAGCGCAAAAGATGCCTAATAATTCTGCCAATAAAGTTAGCACAACAATCCTTGGCATTTGCCATATCCGATGTACCATTAGCCCTTTTCGGCGACTTAAGGTCAGCATGACAGTCCTTGGCATTTGCTATTCCGATATACCATTGCCCCTTTTCGGCCGCGGCTTACACGGCTGTTCAGTCGTATGCACTCCAACCTGGTCCTTGGCATGCAGATCGGTACGAAGTGGATGAGGCGTGCAAGTGGTGTTCGTTTGCCTAAGCTGCTTTGGTGATACCATGATCCTGTTAAGGCAACGTCGAAACCGAGAAACTTCGGTTGGAATCGCTTCATTATTGAGTCCTAGACTCAGGGCAGGATGGGCTGTCAGCCATGCACGGTTCGTATGATCGTCCAGCTTGCGAGCTGATCATGATCATAAGGGAGTCCACTGCATATAAATACGAGTCAAGGACCGCCGTGAACGAGAAGGGCCAGAACGTGAAAAGCAGATTCATCACGACTCCTCGTGATCCCACTACTGGTTTCCTCTCGCACGAGTTGAACGCTGCAGAGCTCTAACTCTGTCCCATATATTGCGCCAACACCCTCCTCACGTTTGCCCACCATGAGCACAGAGAAGCACAGCATTACGCTCTACTGCGAGGGCACTCCGAACCCTCTCAAGATCTCCATTGCCCTGGAGGAATTGGGCTTGAAGTACAACGTACGGGCCCGTGACCATCCCAGACACTCTCCCCCCATAGGAATAGAAAGGAACAGAAACTGACATAGTTCCGCATGTACAGGTACACCCAATCAAGCTCTTTGAACACGAGCAGAAAGAGCCGTGGTTCCTCGACATCAATCCCAACGGTCGCATCCCAGCCCTGGTCGACACGGACGAGAACGGCCAGCAGCTCAAGATCTGGGAGAGCGGTGCCATTCTCGAATACCTCGTGGACCGGTACGACCGGGACCACAAGATCTCGTATCCTCGCGGGACCAAGGAGCACTGGGAGATGACCAGCTGGGTAAGTTGAGTTGGCGAAGTTCCCATGCCGTATTTGAAGGACTGCCATTTCTAATAGGAACATCGATAGCTCTTTTGGCAGATGAGTGGCCTCGGCCCAATGCAAGGCCAGGCAAACCACTTCGAGAGTATGTTCCATCTTCCCATCCAGCCATGCTTCGACGATGGAAGGTGAAGAAGGGTGTTCGCTGACCTCGGCATTGAACCACCACACAGTGTCCGCCTTTGGGGACTATCCATACGCCTTGAAGCGCTACGTCAACGAGACACGCCGCCTGTATCGCACCATGGACCAGGCGCTCACCAAGAATGCGTCCGGATACCTCGTAGGTGATCATCTGACCATCGCCGACATTGCCATCTGGCCATGGACCACGGCGTACAGTATGTCGTCCTTCACCCCCCGTATATAGATAGGAGAAAGGGACTCAACTAATAAAGCGCGCTGCAGAGTACAGTGGTCTGTCCCAGATCGACGAGTTCCCACAAGTCAAGGAGTGGATGTACAGGCTCCTTGGGCGTCCTGGGTTCGAGAAGGGTCGCAACGTCCCGAATCCCCATATCTACCTCCAGCTCAACGAGCTGCCGGATGAGGAGTTGAGGAAGATTGGGAGGGAGAGGTCGGGGTGGGTTCAGGAGGCTATGAAGCGCGATGCTGAATGATGTCGGGGTCTCGTGGACTGTGGATGAAGAAGGTTGAAACGGTTGAAGTGTTGGTCAACCAGGTGGTCTAAGCTTTATGCAAATAAGCACGAGACCCTCTCGGCGACGCAGAGTCCGGTGAGTGGGTCTTAGTGGTGTGCCTCGGTACCTAGGCTTCTAGAAATGGAATTCCAGCTGTGCCCATTGGTTAGAATTGTGGGGCCTCATTGATGACATCAGCACCTGCATGAGCTGCACCTCGCTTTACACAGCAACTGGGCGGGATCCATCACATGCCAATGGATTGTAGTCTCGAGTCTCCCACCCCTGGAGGCCGACTCGGGGCACATGACACGACTCATGAGCGCAGACACGAAGATTCCAATTGATGCATTTCCTGGCATGTCTTCCCCAATCCCCGGACATTTCCATGCGCTAGAGTGTGGGGTGAGGTCCGGGGCACAGGCCACCAACCATTGTGGAAACCGCTGGCCATGTTGTTCGGCGGGCGTGGAGGGGATCTGCTTGCGGCAGCATGTGATTGACGCCCTGACATGCCGAGCCTCTTAAAAGCTACCTTGAGGACCGTTGGAATGGCCATCTCTCTGCTGGACCTCTTTTGCATTTAGTCTGCCACTATCCATACCTCACCTATTACCCGTCTCCCTTCTTTCTCATTTCTATCAAATAAAGACTTTGTACCGTCGTTGCCTTCACCATGTCCAAAACCTTCAGCAGAAACGATGTCGGGTCGCACAACAAGGCCGACGATCTATGGTTGATTGTCGATGACGACGTCTACGACCTGACCAAGTTCCAAGATGAGCACCCCGGTATGTCGGTGTACAGCGCCATCACAGCGCCATTTGCTAATTGCGCATTACCACAGGCGGCAAGAAAATCCTGACCCGAGTCGCCGGCAAGGATGCGTCCAAGCAGTTCTGGAAATACCACAATGAGGGCATCCTCAAGAAATACAAACCCACCCTCCAGGTCGGATCGCTAGACACCAAGCCCAAAGCCGAAGAACCAAAGCCCAAGGCCGGAGCCGATGCCGATGCCAAACCATCCTCGACCTATGCTGCACCTGAACCTGCGAAACAGCTCAAGAAGTCCGCCGCGCCCTCGGTTACGGAGAAGGCAGAGAGCGAAGCTCTAGAGCCGTTTGGCGCCCAAATTCCCTTCGGCGACCCCAGTTGGTATCAAAGCGTGCGTGTTGAATCTTGCTGAACCCCCTGGCTCCGTTGATCGCAACTGACCATAATGCCTCGCATAGTACCATTCACCCTACTTCAATGAGTCGCACGCTGCACTACGAGCCGAGGTTCGCGAGTGGGTCGAGAACGAGATCGAGCCGAACGTCACCGAGTGGGACGAGAACAAGGAGGTGCCCAAGGAGATCTTCCTCGAGGCCGGCCGCCGCGGCTACCTCGCCGGCTTGCTGGGAGTGCATTACCCCGTCGAGTACACAAAGAACACGGTAAAGTCGGTGGCGCCGGATCAGTGGGACCTCTTCCACGAGATGATCGTCACCGACGAGCTGTCGCGTGTCGGCTCCGGTGGTTTCGTCTGGAACATGATCGGTGGGTTCGGCATCGGCGGCCCGCCGCTCATCAAGTTCGGCAAGAAAGCCCTGAAGGATCGGCTCATCCCCGGCATCCTGTCCGGCGAGAAGCGCATCTGCTTGGCCATCACCGAGCCCGATGCGGGAAGTGACGTTGCGAACCTGACGTGCGAGGCGAAGCTGTCGGAGGATGGCAAGCATTACATCGTCAACGGCGAGAAGAAGTGGATCACCAACGGCATATGGTGCGATTACTTCACCACTGCTGTACGGACAGGCGGCGAGGGCATGAACGGTGTGTCATTGCTTCTGATCGAGCGTGAATCCGGCGGTGTGAGCACGAGGCGGATGAACTGCCAGGGTGTGTGGTCCAGCGGCACAACTTACATAACTTTCGAGGATGTCAAGGTACCGGTGGAGAATTTGCTCGGCAAGGAGAACCAGGGCTTCAAGGGTGAGTCTCGGGCCATCGTTGCTTCCGATATGCGGCATCGCTAACCACGTCCCAGTCATCATGACTAACTTCAACCACGAGCGCATGGGCATCATCATCCAGTCGGTGCGCTTCTCGCGCGTCTGCTACGAGGAGTCTGTCAAGTACGCCAACAAGCGTCGGACGTTTGGCAAGAAGCTGATCGAGCATCCGGTGATCCGCATGAAGCTGGCCAACATGGCGCGGCAGATCGAGGCCTCGTACAACTGGCTCGAGAACCTCATCTACCAGTGCGAGAAGATGGGCGAGACCGAGGCCATGCTGCGCCTCGGCGGGCCCATCGCCGGCCTCAAGGCGCAGAGCACGCTGACGTTTGAGTTCTGCGCCCGCGAGGCCAGTCAGATCTTCGGCGGCCTGAGTTACTCTCGCGGAGGCCAGGGTGCCAAGGTCGAGAGGCTGTACCGCGATGTCCGCGCTTATGCTATCCCTGGTGGCTCTGAGGAGATCATGCTCGATCTGAGTATGCGGCAGAGCTTGAGGGTTGCGAAGGCGACCGGTATGAAGCTGTAAGGTGGTTCTTTGGCTAGTGGGTTGTGCATAAGACCGAAAGGGAACGAGGACATGCTGGGGTGTGATACAGCTGAATCATACATGGCGTTCAGTTAAGTAACTTTGTTTTCTTTCAGGGTATTACGAAAAAGAATATAGTATCCATATTTTCCACATTACTTGGCCACGGATGTCTTCCGAGCGGTAAGGTGCGATGATTTGGAATTCGAATCCCAGGTACGATTTTTACCCCTGAACGGTCCAAATAGTGGTAAGCCGTGTTGTCCTGTGAGAGGCCGCGTGAAGATGATGACTTGTGGCGGATGACTCCAATACCTAGTCATCTCACTTGACTTCGTAAGTAGGCAAGGACTCTTTTTAGTTTCGAACATCTTTCTACACCTGTTCTTCTAGCTAGCATAGCATGCTCACCTTATCTTTCAAGACCTCGTGGGTTTAGTCGTGCGAATAGATGCGCCCGGCAACTTACAGGCTCGGAACCAGCCATCGCTTACGACACTCACGGTGGAAAGGCCCAGACTAGCTCTGTTCGACGATATTTCGGCATCTACCTATAGTTCCCAGCTGGCTGCAGGTGAAAGAAGCATATTGCAGTTCACAGAGGTCAAACCAATAACTGAAATGCCCGATTCTTTGATTGGGGTTAGGGTGAGGGTTAGCAGTAAACCAAGACGACGGTGAAGAAAACCATGTATGGCGAGCTTCACCAGGAGATAGAGGCGTGGTATCATCGAGATGGGTCATGACATGGGCGATGCAGAGGTTTCAGTAGGTAGTTACCAAGGATCAGGTGAGGTTAAGCATGGTCAGAATCGGGGAGGTTACCCAGCAGTGAAACGGTGGATTTCTTGATGTATGAGAGACTAGGGCAGATATTGGCAAGCTCGTGAGAGCCGTGAATTTGAACACAGTAGTGATGACGCATGGAAGTCGGGTGATAGTAGTAGTAGTGTCAAAGTCTCCCGACTGGACATCTCGCTTAGTTGGGTTCAAGGATACTGCCACAGGAGCTCTTGGACTTCTTCACTTCGAGCTGTTTGAGTTTCGGTTTTCAGCATGACTAGATCTGAGCATCAAGCTATGCGTTCTGTGGCTCTCGTTCGTGAGAGACGGCAACGAGCTATTAATGTAAGCTTAGTCAAATGTACAGTCCTCCAGCAGATACGCCCCTCGTGACGGTGTGCCACTTGGGAGCCAGTCATCGCTCTGACTAAGAGATAGAAATGACTTGATTGCCACAAGCACCGCCGGAGTGTCAGCTCTGCGGTACTAATCATGCTTACCTAGCAGCAGGCCAGGCATATATAAGTACTTGAATTTCCATGCGGAGCGTATTGACACTGGAGAGCCTCTAAGAGGAGTGCTATCCTAATAATATAGAAGGACCTGTTTCCTTTAGTCAGTCCATGGGTGCTGTGCATGCGCACAAGCTTCAATAGTGGTGATCATCCCGAACAATGAGTCACAGAGACACAAGAGCCAAGGAGGTCGAGTCGTTGAGTACTTGTTCAGCTGTGAAGTGTCCTGGTAGCTGGTTCTTTCGTGGAGACCTCCATGTGCTGCAGCCATTCAGAAACACCTAGAAGTTATATACCTCAACGTTTGCCATGTATTGATAGGGGCGGCAGGACTCGTGTAGTAAGTAGATGAACGGTCATCGATCTAAAGTCGTCGACTGCATACTTCCCCATGACGATCATGTCCAGTCCCTCAGTTTATATCACCATTAGTGCTGGCATGGTCTTATAATGTGGTTTTTCCAATGAGCTGTACTGATCCTTCAGTTGGAGCGGAGCGGAGCGGAGCGTTTCTCCAGCGCGCGCAGTCATCTTTGCGTATCCATGGAGACGGGGCCTAGGAACGAAAATCGGGTGAACGCGTGGTCAACGAGTTGCCTGGGGCACCCACGCGTGTCATTCCCACTTCCTGTCTCTTGCAATTCTTCAGTCGATCAATCCCACAGCAACAACCTGCCAAGCTGTGTATGCATGGTCGACTTCCACACCTGACCATATCAACCTTCCTACCGATTCCTGGCCTTTCCCTTCCTTGTGTTGGCCTTTCTGCGGATATATCGGAGAAAAAGATCCGGGTTTCGCAGTCTTCGCTACCGACGCCATGGCAGATCACAATTGGAATGCCGCCAATCCTGGCAAAGTAGGCGGACAGTCTGATTCCGGCCTGAGCGTAAGATCAAGCTGTTCAACCACCATGCTTCCAGGAAGCTGACTACCGCAGACACACACGACTTCAATCCCGAACCCCGCTGGAATCCAGAGCCAGACCGCCGAGGGTCAGGTGTAGGACACTTACCCGGCGCCGAGCTCAGGACATTCCCACCAAGCGGAAAAGGTTGCCGATCAAGATACCAAGGACGATCCGGATACCAACGACTATCCGGAAGCTGAAGCCCCCGCGGAGCCCGCGAACAAAAAGCGCAAGCGGTTGTTGAACCCGTGCACGAGTGGCCAGAAGGGGCGCGTTGGCTGTGACGGGACGAAACCCAGTTGCCTGCGTTGCGCAAAGAAAGGCCTGGTCTGTGTCTATGTTCCACCGAACAAGCGAGGTCCGGCTATGGGATCGAAGCGAGGTCCGGCGAAGGGACCGACTGGGCGGCTGGCTGAGCGCATACTTGGCAGACTGCACCAGACGAATCCGGAACTGGAGCAGCTCCTGGTGGCCTCGTTGCGAGAGGAGATCCACGAGGGAACCATTGACTACGTCAAGGACAATCGCAACGAAGCAGAACTCGTTGCCGCGTTTGAAGCTGGCCCGCTGTACGGCCTCTTCAACGGACGGCGGGAAGGCAGTACTACGCCTTAGTGTTAGCTGATTCCGTTGCCCACGTGTGTTCAACCGACACGGAGACTAGAGCATAATAAACGGTACCATATTGGACGTCTGATTTCTTTAGGCTCATGGTATAGATGATGTACCTTAGGTTTGATCTCCTCAGTATCCGAAGGAAGTCGTAGTAGCTGCCACTGGACACCGTCGTGCTGCATGTTCTATATTGCAACATACAAGTCCAATCCGGGGTAAGACTGCTGTATCACTTTCTTGACTCCGTCGTGTACGTCTTCTGTCGACAGACTAAAGTCGACTTCAATTCGTTCCATCTTGCGTCCTTCTGCAAGCCTTATCATCGCATATATCTTGTCCCCTGGATCCAGGGATTCGCGATGACGGAAGTCGTACAGAATATCCAAGAAGTCTTTCTTTAGCCGTACGCCGCGCTCCTGAGCGCGCTCTTTCTGCTGCGATTCGACACTTCGAGTAAAGGGCCCATGTCGACTTTCTGCAGGCCCCGCTCTGCTGCCTGTGGCGATATCATGGTTGTCTTGATCCCGAACGTGATACGCTGCAGTGTTTACTAGTGTGTCGTCCATAGCGTCTGCTTAGGCCCGCAGAGTAATACCACTTTCCGAGCCAGAACGGCCTCCTAGACTATCCAGACTTCGCGTTCCCAACCCAGCAGATTGTGATGATACCGATGTTGTAAAATTAATTCATGCTCTGCCACAACTTTAAGTAAATAAATAACGTTTTTTTTAGTACCTTATAGCCAAACTTTATTCGTTTTCTCTTTTCATTTCAACGTTATCAATAAAACTTTCGTTTATTACATATATTTAAATATAGTAAATCATAAGAGCTTTTTATAAGACGGATTTGTATATAGAAGTTTCGCGGATTTTTTTATTTACATATTATATATAATTATAACAATTAATAGCTTTAATTATACGTAATGATATAATCTAGCAGCTATTAAGTTATAAAAACTATTTTTTAAATCGTTTCATAATTTTCTAATATTACAATAGCTTTAAGTAATATTCTAACCGAAACATAAAATTATTCGATGAACACGTAAGTGTGACGAGCCGTCTACCCTATACGGCTAAAGAGTTCTATAAGGTTTATGTTCTGAGGTTAGTGAATACAAAGGACGATAGAGGCTTCTGTCAACTAGAAGACACTCAGATGCTGGGGCTTGGTCTGATCCAGGGGATCACTGAATAGTCGAGTCTTCATGAGATTTCTCTCACCTTAGGGTTGGCTAAGATGCTTAGATTGATTACTGAGGTAGAGACTGTCTATCTGTCTAGCTAGGAAATATCCATCCTTATATATCCAATCTCTCCCTCACTGATGGGGTGGATATGTTGGATAACCTTGCTATCCAAGCTATCCCAGGCCGTATGGCGCAATGGTCAAATGCGCCTGGTTGTGTTGGTCACGTGATCTGTGTACCGTTGCTCCAATTTCTCTACTGGTCGGCACCCCGCTCACTGGTCAACCTGTTTCTAATCGTCTCCTCTGGGCCTGTTATCAGGCCGCACTGTTTGTTAGTTCGTAGCAGTAAGGTTTAAGAATTGAATAAATTGTACGGGGTAACATTTATTACTAAATTAATTATCAAGATGTTATGATAACTTCGTTTAGCGTTGAGAGCCCGCAGTAAAAAGTACCTATAAAATGCTTTAATATAAAGTTATAATAACTTTTAAAAGGTTTTAAACCGTACCGTTAAAAGTAGGTTTTAAGGTATGACTATGTTATATAAGAGCTATACAAAGCCGTATAAAAACTTAATATATTATAGCTATGAGCCTAGCTAGCAAATGAAAAATCTTAAAATAACGTAAATAAATTGAAGATAAAATAAAACTCACTTTTAACATCTTTTTTTCTAGTTTAAAGGATGGTAAGCAAGTAAAAATGATCTCCAGTAATTAATTTAATTATAAAATATGAACAAATAGTTAAAAAAAGGTTTTATTTAGTTTAAAAATATATAACATTATAGACTACTTTGTTTATAAGTAATATTTACTAATGAATTAATTAATATAATTTTATAACAACTTTATTTAACAGTAAAAGCTTTCTTTAAAAAGTACTTATATTATGCCTTATCATAAGGTTATAACAACTTTTAATTTTTTTGAACCATACTATTAAAAATAAGTTTAAAGGTATAGCTAAGTTATATAAAGGTTATATAAAGTCGTATAAAAGCTTAATATATCATAGCCATAAAATATAACTAACGTACAAAAAGTCTTATTTATTACTATATATATTTATTATTGAGAAATGTAGATGATAAAGGAGCGGCAAGTACAAGTAAACGGCAACTTTTCACGAACCTTCTAACCAACATGTCAAATAACTCGATCACAACACATTTAATTCAATCTAATCAATCGGATTCCTCTTCCTCAAAGGTTTATATCTCTATTATATAAATTCGCGCATTATGGTCAGTGTTGCCGCAAACCCCACAATGTCGCTCACGCGTTGCCGCTGTTGAATGGGAGCCGGAGATAGACACCGGAAGATCTCTAGTGGTGCAGAGACGCACAGGGCATCTGACCCACCCAGAAGACAGATGATCAATCTCTGCACGCAGAGCAGAACAATCAATAGCATCAATCAACATCCGTGTATTCAACAGTTGCCCTCCTTGAACGACGACTACCTTCACCCATTTCTTGTCTTGCCAGCTCAGTGCCATCCTTTATAGCCTGAAGGCCTATTATATCTTTAATAAAAAGTATTCCTCCTTTTAGTAGACATTTGTTTTTTGTTCTCTAGCATTTATTTAGTAAATAATTGGACTTTTTTAGTTCGTGGACCCAGGAATTAAATAAGCGATCTTGTGCATAAGACCATATGTAGCATTTCAAAATGAGCTCAATGCATCAATTATTGATGTAGGTAAGCTTCCCTCTTGGTTTCTGACTTAATTTTGCATATAAACCAATTGGTTTACCGCTTTGTTAAGGGTAGTAGGCGTCTTCGAAGTCCAAATAGTGGGTGACAGATTAGGGTCTGGCGACAGTGTTCGTACAACAGTGACAGCATCCAGCTTCAAAATGACACTTTCTTGGTCAAAAGGAATAAACCCAGTGGCACTAAAACCTGTTCGAATGTTTCCTGGTGTTATAACAGCATTATATGCTTCATAAAACGCTATAAAGAAATCCTCCTTTGAAATGTGAGTTATATGACGCCGGATGACATCCTTATTCATGTGACTATAACCACGTTTAAACGGGCTAAAACAGCTGATATCTAAAGGCTGGAGCCTCTATAATGAGTGGGCAGGTATATAGAAGGTAACAATGCCATTGCTTTGGCAATAATCTTTAAACACCTGGGAATAGTGGCTTTTGTGACTATCTAGGATGAGGAAGCGTTTATCAGCAGTCATACGCGGTCTGGTATACTTGTTGAAATGCTGAATCTATTTCAAACCGATCTCATTTATAGTTCACCCGTCGTTAAACACGGCTATCTTCTAATTGCATGATAATGTTGTGTCGCAATACTATGACACTAAGTGGGTTTTGCCCTGTAAAATGATGAACGGTAGGACCACCTAACCATCAGCATTGATAGCAGAGATTATTATAAACCATTCTTTGTTACTTTACTTAGCTTGTTTAGGCCTGTCACGTTTTTTAGTGCTTATAACGACTATACCGGACCTAATAATGCCCATCATAAACCCAGTCTTATTGAAGTTATAAATATCCGCGTCTTGGATACCATGGTTTGTGATTTCTGCTGCAATTTGGTAAAAACACGCGCAATAAATATCTGCATCTTTGTTTAAGACCCTTGCGTAGTTCATCCTGTAATAAAAATGAGTCCGGAGGCCTGGTATACGTTTAATGAAGCTCCGCGTCCAGTTCTTCCTGACGCATCCAGTCCCACGTACCGCTAATAATTGATTTGCCATATTTTCAACATAAGTGTATTAGGGCGGAAATACTCACGCATTCAGGTTAAGTATGAAGGAATAAATAGCATTCTCTTTAGAAACTGTAACTTTTAATGAATTGGGCATACTGTTATATCATGATAATCGGCCGGCGATTCTTTGAGCCAGTGCAGAGATTGGTAGGTGGAAAATTTTAGCAAGCTTTCAAATACAAATATGAGGGTGTTATTTTTTAGCTTAGACAGCTATCTGCATGTCTGATTCATTATAACACGGTGCCCTTATCATGGGTGGAGGAATATTGGTTAGAAATTGAAAGTTTGAGAGGTTTATGAAAGTGTCCCACTGGCTTGTGTGTTACGCTCGCTTGTGACCTACGTTAACGCTTTTTAAAATGCTTTAAAATTTTTATTATTTCTTTTTAATGAAAAGACTTAAAAATTGTTAAAATGGTATTTTAAAAACTTTTAAAGTTTAAAAAAATATTTTACTAATAATAAGTCTTACTTTTATAAAAACTAATTGGATGAACTATAAAATATACGCTTTCGTTCATAATTTAAAAAAATCTTATTTTTATTCAAGGTAATAAAAACGTTCATAGCTTTTAATATAAAAGTTAATAGATTTTTACGTTCATTTATATTTATTATCTTAATAAGCCTAAGCGTTATTAAACCTTTTATAAGCATAAATTAAAATATTCGGGGAGTTTTTTTTTTTAATACCACTATTAATGTCGTTATTTTCAATGATATATTATTAGCTTTTAACTAATAACTAAACTTTATTTTTAATACTAACACGTATAAAATTATAGACGTAATACTTATTTACTTACAAAAATATAATAAAAAACGATATCTATAATATATATAAACGTTTTTTTAATAATATGAATAAATACATTACTATTACCGTAATAATAAACGTCTCGTTTATATATAAATCTCAATAAATAAACATAAACTTAATAAAAAATATGCTTAAATAACAACGTTTACTTTAAACTACTTAATTATATCCTTATTATAACGTTTTAAAAGCTATCGTTGATAAATTTAAACAGATTTTTATTACTTATAATATAACTTATCAGCTGAAGCTTTAAAATATTATGAATGTTAAACTTATTATACTATATCTATTAAATCATTTTCGCATTTCCTTTAAAATGTTTAACTAAAACAATATATACAATGAATAGATATTTACAAAGTACATCATTAAAGCTTTAAACTCTGATGCCTTAGAAAAACTATTACTAGCTTTTTATTAATTGAATTATTTATCTTTAATCGCTACTTAATAAAGCTTAAATATATAATTTCATAGTCTAACGTTTTATAAAATAAATAAAAACAAACCCGTTATCATTCCTTTTAAAAAAGTTTAAAAATATGTTTAACTAAAAAATAAAAGTTACTTGTATATAAGAACAACCTTATAACTTAGTTTAAAAGAAAATAAAGCTTATTAAGCAACTTACTAGGCTTTTTTAAATGGCTTTTTTATATAAATAAGCCTTACTTTTAATAAAAAACTAATTGTTGTTGAAAGTTATATACTCGCTCGTATTAACCTTAGTAATAATATTAAAAAATTAAAAAATAGTAATAAATTAACGTTAAAAATAACATTCAAAAGAGAAAGGTTAATGAAAGCCTCGCTTATGAATATCAATCTTAAACGTAATGCGGTTTTCGCGTAAATAATGTTAAGATAATATGATTATTCTTAGAATAATTCAAATTAATCGAAAATGATAAATGTTATTAGAACAGGCTTCACCGGTCAATCATAATACTCAAGTATGGGTCAAAGTCATGATCTTGCTGATGGGTTTGGTTTGAGAGGTCTAGCTGGACTCCCAAGTCTGGCTAAGTGACTTCACAATCCGGTATCTAATCTCTTATCTAATCATACATGTGGGTTTGGTATGGATGATTGGAATGTGGAATTGCATGGATCCAATAATTAACGTATATTTAATATTTTCGGCAAAACAATAAGATATTTAAATCCTATTTTATTATAACTTATTAAAAACGTCGCTTGGTTTTAATATTATATCGTAGTATAAAGTAGTTATAAAAATACTTCTTAAAACGAGAATCCAGTAATGATGAATTCCTTGTCTGAATGATGTGCGAGAGTTTATGCATCAGACCTCATCATTATCCATGTTTATATCCATTTTCCTGACATCAATCTTGCTTTGGTACTTACACCTGCAATACGGAAGGAACTGGATCATAAGCTGAAATCGGACAAGAAATTCTAGAAAATTGTGAGCTTGCTTATTCCCCTGCGATTCACGCAAATATTCCCGAGAGAGCCATTTTTGGCCATGGGTCTTGCTCAGGTCGAGTTCTGGAGTAGATGTCACACCGATGAGGCGAATTATAATAGCTTTACAGTTGCATCAGAGTTTGGAGATCGCGAGGCAAGACGCGGCTATTGCGAAGCGACAGAACATACGGTCGAGGTTCATTGAGTAGTCGACTCGGGCCACCGCGCATTCCGCGTCATCACATTCATACTCCTCCTCCCAGATGCTGGGGCTTGGTCTGAACCGGAGTTTACTGAATAGTCGAGTCGTCGGGAGATTTCTCCCAGCTTAAGGTTGGCTAAGATGCTTAGATTGATCACTGAGGTAGAGAGTGTCTATCTGTTCTAGCTAGGAAATGAGAATTTCACTACGGCCATTCCGTGATTTTTGCCGAAGGCCATAAATAGACCGTCTTCAAAGGTAAATCACAGACTTTCGCCGGTCGTTTCTGCTCCTCTTCCTTTTGCGGCATAAAAAGACTTAAGAACATATGTACCTTGGCAGATCTCGGGCGATCCGGAATCGTCCCTAGATCGCCGGAACAGCCTCCATTTTGAAGTATAATAGGCCTTTACATGTTGCTAAGTGGTCCCGGAGTTGACCATCTAACTGACTGGCTGATGTAAGTAGAATGACTTGTTACGGATGCGAGGATTGCTGCGAGGATTGCTGTTTTGGTTTGGGTGTGAAGATTATCTTGACCGTATTTCGTCGGCCATACAGTAAGACTCGATATCCAGGCCAGTAACATGACGCACTACTCGCTCTCTGTTGGACCGGCTGATGATGAGACGAAGACCATCTGTATTCAGAGTAGATTGTCTTAATTGTATACTTTGATAGATCTGGTTGGTCTCCGGCTGGACCAAAACCGAGAAGATGTGCCTGGTGCTTGTCGCAACATCTAGAGACTCGGTGGGCTGAGCCTAATCGACGTGTTGGGCCATCGCGTTCTCGGATGCAGCGCACTTCTTGTAAGCCGCGACGAGGCGGTACACAACCTCGTCTAGACCTGGTGGAGGTCAATATGACAGGTTGGGCAGGTCATCACACTGCATGGGCGGAACGAGAAGCCTGGTCCAATCTCTTGTCCCTCCATCGGTAGTCCCGAAGACCTACAAATGATTATACCTCTTACTTCTAATCTGTACCCCCGCGAGTGGTGTGGTTTCAGCCGCAAATTTAAAACTCCAGGTTTGAACGTTGGCAGACCAACTGGTCCCATAGGTTATCTTTATTCTGTTTACTTTACAGAAAGCTATAGCAGCTATCGATGGACCAACTCGGTCAGCAGGTGCGTCACCACACCGTCTGTCTATAGTCCTGCTAGCTTCCTTACCGGAATCACCTACCATTGGCAACGTCGAAGCCGCATCTGCAATGAGACATACTATCTCTGTCTTGTGTGTAACATGCCAGCCTACATAGCCGTGAGCTGCCACTGGGGAACTGCTCAATATTGCCTCCGGCGGCTGTAACATCCTGAACCTGAGCTCAGACGATTTGCTTAGATGTCAGAGCCCGATGCACTAGATCGACCAACACGGGAATCGTGTGGGTGTGTGAGTTGGGTCCACAACCTGATCCTTAGCCGCCTCTCGATTTGTACTACGTGGGGCCTGTGATAATAAATTTGGTGGTTGGATGAACATACGGTTTTGTAGGAAGCTCCCGCCTCCAAGGTGTCCCTTGGAGGCGCTGCGAAAGGAACTTCCCTATGGAACGTCGTCGATGGCGTTATTTGCTCGTAATTGCGTAGGGGACAGGGCATTCTGAGAATCTGGTCAGGCAACAAGTCCATTATATTGCAAGCATTATTAGGTGAGTAGAAAAAACTTGCACAGCAATGAGGCCAAATATATGTGCAGTTATGCTGATATTAGTGTAAAGGATTTACAGCATCTTGGACTATCCAATATCGAATTCCCTTCTTTCCTTGAGCCCTATCCTTACGACATCTATGACGCATCAAAACCATGACTATCAATAAAACATAGGCCAATCTACCGGAAGCTGTCACTTATACCAAGCCGCCCCTGATGTTATCGTACCGTGAAGTTGGATACGACAGACAGTTCTGGGTCATGTCTAACAAGTCGCCGCCACCCTGCGCATTAAAGAAGGCAGCGATCAAACTGCGGTTGTCAGTTCGGTCGCCAGACGCCTCCCAAAACATCGCACCGCCCATGCCGTTGCTCTGTAGGTACGAGGCTTTCGTTCCGACCATATCGACATTGTCGTATGAGGTGAGCTCTTTTGTCAAGATATCGTATGAATATGAAACGCCGGAATCCGAGTCGTAAATCTCGGTGCCTGATCGAGGGAGGACCTTGTAGTCCCAAACCCCGGCTTCCCATGATCCTTGCCCAACAGCTGAATAAGGCTTACCTAAGCCGTCGGTAGATTCGAATGAGCGGCCATATAGGGGCATGCCAAGAATAATCTTTTCTGCGGGCACGCCGCCGGCAATGTAAGCAGCCACAGCACCATCTGTTGAGAACTTGGTGGCGGCAGGGTTGTTTTTGCTGACATGGAGGTTGGCTTAGTGGCCTGACGTAAGGTCCCATGAGCCAGCGTAATCGTAGGCCATCAAATTGAATTCATCGAGGAGACCTGCCATCCGGTCGAGCTTGAGCTTTTGGTAAGTGGTGGGACCAGCAGGTAGAGCAGCCGTCAGCAAGAAGTGATAACCGTTAGCAAACTGAGTCGAGTATGAATCTAGTTTGTTACGGATAGTCTCCAATAGCGCGACCATGTTGTTAGCCTGCGTCTCGTCGCTAGGGTACTCCCAGTCGACATCTAATCCATCGAACCCCCAGTCCTGAAGGAGAGGTGATATAGTGTGATAAGCTGTTGGAATCTGGGCTACGTTAGCCCATCCATAGTCATCCTTCAGGATCACCATCCCCATCTGTGACTCTGTCATATACGTGGCCAATATAAGGCCACGTATCCTTTCCTTTAGTATCTTGGATATATAGGGCCATTCTGGCCGCTCCAGAGTAGCTGGAATTCCTTTCCTAAATAGAACACTTTGAAATCTCACATAAGCATACATGAGATAATCTGAGGCTGGCCATGAATCACTCATGACCACTCATCTACGTACATGTCGGAAGCTAGGAAACCCCAAGCTGGGACGCCAAGCTTGTTTTACGTGCTGCTTACAATTCAGTTCCAACCCGTAGTTCAGCTTCTGTTCACGATCGTGATAAACACCAGCGCAGCGATGTCAAATACCCTTCCGCTCACATCCACTCACGCTTCTTCTCCTAGCCCTGACTTGTCGCTCCAAGCCGCCCCGTTCACCGAGCAACACATTTAGAATCTGCCCATCTGGCCAGCCGCCGCAACGACTGCAATAGGACGTAGCAGTCGGACATCTGTTCCGTCGAGCCCATCGCATATTCCGAGACCTGGAGCCTGTTCGAGCTTTCGAACTTCGCTGCTTGAGGAATCCGGTCCCAACTACGCAAGGCCATACCAGTAGCGCTGCTCTGAACCGCACTTCGATATTCCACGGTCACGCCACTCCCTCCAACATCTGCCGCCCTCAAACGCCCTCCAACGCCAATGGAAGTGCCTGATCTTCACAACTCACCCTACTTGCCTTGCCTCCGATGCCATTCCATTCCAGCGATATGGTCGAGCGATACCATGTGGAACGTATGATTGTATTAAGAGGCAGACGCAACGTCATGGATTGCCACGGCATGCTTGGGCTCAGTGCAAACCAAATTCCTCGACGACGACGACGACCGCAGGGCAGTGAGTCCCCGGTGAGGTCAACCAAGCTTCAGCTTTAACTAAACGCCTTTCTCAAGACCTCCCTTATCTCCGACGCATCGTGCCTACTCCATCCGGTTGCCTGATGCGCTTGCAGGAGAAACTCCAACAACCTGCCTTCAACACGGGCTCGTTCAAGGTCCAGGGGGTTGGTCGCTCCCTCCTTTCCAATTTCAAGTATTTTTATATAGAAGTCTTTCAGAATCATGATGTCTTTGGCGTCCAACCGGCCGCTCGAGGCGTCCAAGCCGAATTTCCGACGGGCAACTCCGAGCATATCCGCCTCATGGCAACGGATGACGGTCGCCTGATTGGCATCAAGCCCCAGCTCCAATAGGTGCCTGAGATGCCATACGAGCGGCCTTGGGTTATCGGGTGGTATTGACAGAAAGCCTTCAAGGTAGGGGAAGCCTTCCAATGCGCCGCGCAGCTGATACCGCTCCATCAGAGCGGCGAGCCTCCCTTCCCCGAAGCACGTCCAAAACTCACCAAAGCTGCACGTTTCTCGAGGCTGTCTTTCGCTTTGGCCAATTTCCAAGGCGTCATCACTATCATCCATCATCTTGTTCCCATAGACCAGACTACTGTACAGCGTACCAAGAACGCGTTGGTGATGCTCTTCATGACAAACGCAGAATCCTAAGTTGAACCACACACGTGCCATATTCGGATGGGGGTATGCGTTCATTGAAAGAATACCGAAGAACCTCAGGCTCTCACGCTTGGTCCACGGGCTGAGCTCCTCGACAGGAATTCCTTGGTCTTCGAGGTTAAGATGTCGCCCCCGGGCCGTGTCCAGGTGTCGAAGATACATTTCTGCATCGCTCACAGTATTATCTTCTTCGGGATTTGGGTTCAGCAGATGCGCCTGCCTCAAAAACCAGGGGTAGTATTCACCACGATTACCCTGAGGGCGCTCCTCATATGTCTTGATGATGTTCTCCTTCAGAGTGCCGTCCTCCATCCACGAGTTGATTACCAGCACGTCTACCTCCAGGCCATTCAGCAAACCCTGATAAAGCCCCAGAAGGAAACTTCTTTCGTTGTAATCTCGGCATTCCATGAATCCAAACTTTTCGAGCACATCAGGATCATCCGGAATCTCATCCCTCACTGCGGACAGGTCGAGGAAATCTGCGGGTTTCAGGGGTCTCTGATTGCATGTAAATAGATGGTGTGTCGTAGCCCTGGTCACACACCCATGACTATAAAAGTGGCCTGGGCCACAACGCGAGCAGCAACGTGTGGTCATCCGACAGCAGCCACACTCACAATCAGCTTCAAAGGAGTCACATGGTACAGCATGAGAAGCTGCCGGTGGCTCCGAGAAGACATGATCGTCCCTAAAAGAGCTCAAGAGCTGTTGCTCCAGCTCAACCTCGGTGTTTTCTGCGACGCTGTCCGCTTCGAATCTGTCGGGTCCGAGTTAGTCATACTCTTGAAGATGCGTTTGCCTGAGACTCACAACGTTCGGATGTTCATCATGTTGCACATTCTCTCCTCAACCAAATGCGAACTGGCCAAGAGTTGCGCCCATTCCGAGATGTCGCCCTTGCCACCTGGCAATGTGGTTCCACAAGAAGAGCCACCCACTGATGATTGTTTCACTGCAGCAATCTGGACTTTGCCCGTTTTATCCTTCCTGACAAGGGATACCAGATTTTGTTCGACTTGATGAAGTGCCCGTGCAATGCGAACAGAAGCACCGCCAATGTCGCCGCTTGTCTCAAGGTGTGGAACGGTCCATTGACTGAAGAGAGCGCCATGGGACCCTTGGGTCCGAAAGGAAGGGTCGTATTGCTTGATGAACTCGTTGCAAAGATAGCAGGACTTCTTGCTGCAGCCGATGTAGCCATACATCAACCCGTTAGATTCCTGACGAGAGCTTTGCGATGACTCCTGCTGAGCTAGATACATCAGCAGCTGGATCTCAGCATGAATTTGTGGCTCTTCTTTCTGGATTGAGTTGAATCTCGCCGTGGCATCCTCTAGCTTCCATCCTTTGCCGATGACACTCTTGATACCCCGCCCTTGCGGGAAAAGACTGCAACAGGTGTCCTGAAGCGTCCATGACTTCGGGGACATCTCGCGACGATCAAGGTCCTTGAGATGGCGCAAACTTGTTGTATTGCAATGAAGCAATACGATCCGCAGTTCGTCAAATCCCTGTAGACGGCTGGCAGCTCGTACGATTGTAGAGCAAGACGCACCAACGCGTCCGAGATACCCCAGCGACTCGCAAAGTCTGGAGGGCCTTGGGATACCGATCGCATTGAAATCTTCAAGGGGATGAGACTTCCAGACTGTACGCGCAATCTGAGTCACAATCTGGATAGTAATGAAGTGTCAAAGGACATCCTCTGCCGACACCAGCTTCCGCAACACCATCAAGGCGGTCATCAGTTCTGTTGACCTTGTGTCAAAGGACCCCGATACCCGGCTCGACGGTGCCGCCAAAACTGCGTTGAGGTGCGCCAAATGTTGCTTCAGCTCAGTGAGCCATATATGGAGCCGCTCGCGTTGATACTGGTGGATGATCAGGTAAAGACGAGCGATACATGATTGAGCTAGAGCACCTCTTCTCAGTTTTATGTCGCAGAAACCGATGTGACGATCTTACCACCATGCGTTGCGATATGGCGAACAATCAACTCGAGATCCCGGAAGAACCTTTCGTCGGACGAGTGAAACCCCTCGTTACGTGCAATGATCAGTTCGATCCATCCGTTTCCCGTATGCATAACACTCGCGGCAACATAACGACCACCCTTGGCGTTCGACGCAACCTCGGCTACCCGATCAAGTAGAGGATCTTTTAAGGCCTTCTCGTCAAAGGAGGTAATCACGTCGGGGCTGGCGGAGTCCGCGTCGTCATTAAGCTCCTCTTCCAAAGTGTCGTCTGTCCCCGACCTGTTTGACGACTGCTGGACCTGTCCATTGTTCCATAAATGCATCAAAGTAGCGCATGCCCGGAATCGCGAACGGTTGTTCCCCTCCAAGTTCCAATGCGAAATGGCATCCGTTTAGACCGCTGTTAAATTGGCTGGGGCATTAGGCCTAAAGGGTCGTGTGGCGATGCCGTTGATGATGAAGTATCTGCTCCCTCGAGTTCGACAATGCGGATTCGCAGCTCTCTACATAGTTGGAGCATATGAATGTCGCACAGCACGAGTTTGACACTGACGTGGCAGTATGCCTGTCTTGCAGCACTTTCGCTCTCGGGACGCGGGGTGGCCAGCCGCATGATGCCTACTCCCACTCAACGAATGACACGACGCCGTGACGTGATACACGGCTGTGGGCAAACCATATGCCTGTCGCCGGTTATGGAGGCAGCCACCGCTTTTACCTTCGGTGATCTGGTATATTCTCCCACCGTCGAAGAGTCCGGCGACTTCAGAGCCTTTCGCGTGGGAAGAGCCATCGATCGTGGTAAGCATTGGTCTCAGGGGACACCACCGCCTACTATCTCACTCCACGGAAGGTTCAAGGCTGGATCATCGGACGGGAAGTCGCTAGCTATACTGATGCGAGCTGTATTGCAACGTGAGGTGGTATCATGCATGCTGAGGACAGAGCCATTGTCATGGAACGATCTGGAATAGTTTGGAACCACGCGTAGAACATCGTGGAACGAGATCCGAGATTCTATATAGTTGGCTCGTGAAATATCTCTTTGCTTGTTTCCTCTTTTTTCTCTTCGTCTCTCGTCTTGTACTCTACCACTAGTACATAGGATAGCAATATCAGTGTCAATCTACTCACCGGCCAATCTTTGTTCGTCTAAGCCTTGACATTACGAGAGACCTCCACACAAGCCTACGCCACAACACGAAGTCGAACATCATGTCTCAGTCCTCCGAAACCGTAGATACCACCTTGTTGAATGGGAGCCGGAAATAGACACCGGGAGATCTCCAGTGGGTCAGAGACGGACAGGGCATCTAACCCACCAAGAGGACAGATGATTAATCTCTGTACGCTGAAGAAGCAGAGGAGAACAAGAATAACAACAGAACACACTTGACAACCTGAATAATCTGAACTCGCTTGCATCTGACAATTAAGAGTCTCATTTGCTCTAAAAGGAGAACACCCACGAAAGATCAAGAGACTTTTAGATCTACATATCACCAAAATGACGACATCGAACAACGATCGCACTATCTTCTCTCGCCCCGAAGACTGGGAACGATTCAACGCCGAATTCCAGACCAAAGCCGTAGCCTTTGCATCTGCCACACATCCGCCGCGCATCAGCCATTTCAGCCATTCATTATTTGCACGACAATAAGCAGATGCGTGGCTTAAAAAAAGTCACTTTTGGGGCTCTTAATAAAGTGCCCGCAGCGGCCATTCTCTAACCATAGCAGAAAGCTATAACTGGACTGTGTTCGAAATCGACCTACTGGTTCTTACTCGCCGGGTTTCTGTTTCGCACACATTGCGGTTGCCCAAATCGTCTAGCAGCAGAGAGTACCAGATTCCTCGCAGCGAGCGTCGTGCACTTAAGCAATGGGCCAGTTTGAAGAAACCACCCCCCAACATGTGCCAGGTCCTGGACCACAAGCTGCGAGATGGCAAAGAAGTCAAAACCTGCGCCAACGTCGTATGTCCAGGTCCCCACTGTTAGTAACGTTTTATGGCTGTCAGTCATCTAGAGCATACACCACAGGTCTCGACTTACTTCACGTATCATGCTCCTGAACACTGCCGTTCCGAAGAACCAATCTGGCCAATATCCGCTCTTTAGACATGAAAGGATTGCAAAGGTAACGGTGAGCGACGTGCTCAGTGCTCCGTTGAAGCTACAGCAACTGTGTATGAGCGCCTGTACAGCACCCTCACCGGGAATGGCGGCTGGTGAGATACTTGACTTGGTAGCCTAAAGGTGGCAATCACGCTTAGAATTGTAATCGAGCTCTCAATAGCAAGTGCCGTGTAGATGACCGAGATTTGAAGGATATTAGGACTTTCCATAATATGTCAACTTATAAAAAACCAGCGCCTTATTTTACAATATAACAATGACAGCAAGGAGGTTAGGACCCTTGATAAGTACTTATAGCTAGGCATGAGAAAACTGTAACCAATACATCATTAGGGAGAATCGGGGTCGGGTCAATCGGTCTCCATCCGAGGTCCTTCCGCCCCCCAGACGCGGACCTTGTCGCAAACATGTTTTGCGAGTGGTGAGAAATCATTGGATGGCCGAAGCTTCCGCCAAAGCTGGCATCATTACCGCTAATGCATGACCACCTGCTCTATGTTGTGATCGTTGGCGGTTAGGCCTCCTGCAATTCGGCGCATTTAAAATTGGTAGAACGAAAAGACCAACCGTCTTTAGCTGTGGCTTGATCTTGGATGGCGTGAGAGCATAGCTATGCTCGACTGAAGCAACCACCATTCATGGGGGCACAGATTGGAGAAGGCGAAGACATTTCGTGTAGCGGCCACCATGCTACCATCGCTGCCGGGTCTGCATGTACGGACCCGAGACTGCGGTCTTTATTTGAAGAACTGCACTGTATCGTCTTCGACCGGATTACTCACACTAGTCCAATTACCGGTCATCTGGGATTATTCATACGACCTTGTGTTCAAGTACATCCACGATTCTTTGAGTTACCCTCTGTACTTCCAGCATTACCTGCACAAGATCAGATAATTTCAGACTCAAGTTACGCAGGTGCTGGTTATCGATGAACGAAACGGCCTCTTCATCGACCCCATTTCGCTCTTCACCATTGTCATGGTATAACTTCTGTCGCTGTTCGAATCGTTATCAAAGATGACAAAGTCCCGCAGACTTCCTGGGCTATCCAGACTTCCTGGGCTATCCAAGGGTTCATTGGTATAGGTAGAGTCTGACTCGATGCTGCCTGTTATTATGTCGCTACAATGAGACTTAGGGTATAAGGAATCGCCATCGAAGTCTGATGAGTCAGGTCCCAAGTTTTCGGTCTCACTATGCATTGCGGTGTCAATTTGACGTTTTCCTGTCGACGTTCTATATGTAATGATGGAAAGCGACCTGATTTACCTTTGTTATAATAAGATAAGTCAAGTGCGACAGAGGAACGTGATTTATATGCCTTCTCGAGGTCTATATATGGACAAGACCTATTCTGTCCTCTGTAAACGTATGGTTACAAGGCAGCCATTTCCAGAGTGACCTGAAGTTGAGTCTCAGACATGGCCAGAACCATCCCTCAAAGATATCCATAAGAGACAAATTTTATTTACTACAAAGGTCCGCCTGAGTAAGGCTTCTGGCTATAGATAATAATTTCAGTATATTATAGCAAACTACCATCTTGTCGGCTTTACTTAGAGCAATTAGAACTTACTTAACTAACGCCTGTAACGGGTGATACGGTATTTGGCCGCGACATCGTCGCAGGCGAGGCCGTATGGCGCAATGGTCAAATGCGCCTGGTTGTGTTCTCGTTTGTGCGGTGGGCGATGAGAACAAGTGGGTTCGAATCCTGCTATGGCCCCCTTCTGACCCGGCTTGTGCGAGTCGATAACCAGCACATGACAGTGGAGAGGCCCCATTATCGCAGAACCCGATAGCCAAGCAGCTTGTCTCCATAACACCCACTCCTACGAGGTTTTTCCCCTTATGGTTTCCCTTACCAGCAGATAACAAACACCTACTTCACCCACCAATGCGACATATGTCGAATGGCTACTGGAATGATGTGTACCCCAGAGGACTGAGGTTCACTGGGTCGCTTTGTCACTGGACAGGAGGTTTTTCTGACGGAATCGTGCTTGGGTATTGACTAAAATTATCTGGACATTCCAGATTGGTACCGCTACAGCGAGGATAGGCTCGTGCGCGGATCTGAATGTATCTAGACTGAAACCTCTACAACCTTGCGATGCAATGGCTCTGGGAGGCGTGGTTTGCCCTGTTGAGGGACTACACCCACGATAAATACAATCAATCAATCAATCGTCGCAGGCGAGACCCCACCAACCGGATTCAAGCCTATGACGGCTAATGTGACAGATGAGTACCTAGACGCAAGGATCGCCGCCGATGCGCTCAGTTCGTATCACTTGATGGGTTCATGCTCGATGGGGAAAGTGGTCGACAGTGAGCTCCTTGTTGTTTATTTGCCTGCTTCGTTGTGTGTGCCTGAGCCAGCCGTACTCGGTTATGTCCTCCTCCAGTACTCGCAATACCTCTTGTACGTACCTGCCTGCTGGCGCTGCTTTCTGGCTCGGTTGGGCGACTGGCGCTGCGGTGGTGGTAGGTTTCCCATGAAGGCTTTCGTGCCTTGCTCGTCGATATAGCGTTGCTCGTGTCCCGGTAGTAGTGGTGGCGGTGCACTGGCCGTGACTACGTGCCGCTTGCGAATTTTTTGAACACAGGTAATTCACGTCGGGCTGTCAGCAATGGCGGTGGTGGTGGTGCTATGGTCGTTGCAGCAGGAACTGTGCTTGTTGATGGTGTAGTGCGGCCGTTCACGAGTATGGAAATACGGGCTTCTATTTTTTTTCCGTTCCTGCTCCAAGGAGTATGCAATACAGACAAGGGCTATGATCAATCTGGAGCTGCAAGCACACAAGCACGGATGGCTGCTGCGCGGCTGATGCATGGCTGATGCGGCATTCGTAACCAGCACTGGTGGGGCTCAGCGCCAACCGATCGTAGTACATCCCTACACCATGCGCGCCACCCATGCACAACTCTACGAGACTAAACTGTATCATCATCATAATCACTGCTCAGTCTTGGAAGAATGGCGAGATGGAACACACGTACGATACAGCGATTGAGGGCCTTGGGCACCGATCTGATCATATCGATGGGACTGCGCGAGAAAGCCGAGCATTGGACACAATCATACCACCCAGACCTGATTGACGTCGCAGCCGCATTAACAACGTCGTTGTCGTTAAGTCAGCATGGAACGTTGGAAGGCGTCGGGTCCCAACCTAC